ACTGACTGTCAGGTCATCATAACTGTTTACCAGTCACTTACTGCTAAATCACACACATCATAGTGAAAAAATCAAAGGTGGGAAATGTAATCAGATGTCTTACATAAGTAACAGTAGCAATGCCACAGTGGAGAAGTACTTTTTTACAAGTAGAAATCCTGCATAGCATCAAACTTAAAGTAAAGATTCATGTTATGCAGAATGGGCCAATTCAGCAAATACTATATTATTGGAATAATTATTGATGAATTAATGTGTTCATCACTTTAAAGGTCCAGCATGTAGAATTTAGGGGCAACTACTGGCAGAAATGGAACAGGATATGAGTAGGACTGTCAAAATAATGTTTTTATTTCAATTAGTTAATCCCAGAAAAAATAACACATTAAAAAACTTGCCCTTTGACCCTGGTGAGTCATTGAAGGTCATAGTGGCTTTGTCACATGATGGAGGCAGACGAGATGATGCTGCTTGGCCCTTTGAATGGAACATTTACATTAAAAAAATGCTCGGATGGAACTGCAATTTCTGCAGTTAGGAATTTTTGTACCATTAGAGTACCTAAAAGCCCCTTTTACACTGCCAGATTTTCGGCGAATGTTGGGCCATTTTGCCAGCAAGCTGCGAACGTTTAGACACACAGAGCCAGATTGGCGAGTTGATCCAAGGTGCACAATTTTCTGCCTCATAGGGTAGTCATATTGGCAGAACCTTTTTGGTTTAAACAGAATGAGGCGGCCTTCTGCCATGATAGGGGCTGTTGAAGACTTGTGGGAGGAGCTGTTGATGACACCGCATGTGCGAGCCACTGGCGGTGAATAAACAGGAAACAGCTGATAGCAGGAATGAGCGAGCAGCTAGCAAGAGGGAAACGCAAACCTGACAGACACTGTAAAGATGAGCAACTGGGGAGACAAGGAATTGCGCGCCCTCCTTGCCCTCGCAAACGAATAGGCCATTAACCGTCAGATGACGGGAACGGTGAAGGACGGGCCAACTTCTGAGAGAATCACCGAAGGACTGACTAGCCGCGGCTTCCCTCAGAGTATGTCACTGTTTACGTCACACGCTGAGCTACATGTTTTGTTACTTGCTCACGCCCCCCATTGCCCCGAAAGAGGCGCATTCTGTATAAGTAGGCAGGCGGCATTTTGCCGCACTCCCTGATTTTGTTTTTATACTGCCAATGCTGAAAAAAAGACTGATTGGGCTTTCCTGCAAATTTGCACAATTCCTGTCTAAAAAGGGCTTAAGTCTGACATATCACCTTAACACAAAGCATTTAGCAGAGGACCCAGAGGTCCGAGCTAGCACAGCCTCTGATGCTAGCACTAGCAGCTAGCCTCATCAAGCCACACTTGACCAAGACGTAAACCGAGTAAGTCTACCTATGACCGACTAACTAACTCCCTTGCAGTTTCGGTGGGAGAGGACGGGGGGACAATTGTTTCCAAAATCCAGCAGCTTTACTACAACACGTCTGCCTAAATTCATTAGAACTGAAATTTTTTTCTTTTTTCTTTCACAGCAAAATTTGATGTTTAAGATTAATTCAGATTAACTAATCACAGAGCATGTAATTAATTAATTTTTTAATCACTTAACAGCTCTAATAATAAGTATATTTTCTCCAGTTTATAATCACCTGGAAATAACAACTGTTGTGTTTTCCCTAGAATGAGCTGGTCCACATAGAGGGTCCTTTTCAGTAGTACAGAACACCAAACACCAAACACTAGCTTTAGATGTGGTCATTCTCATTTTCATGTTTTTGCATCAGCCGCCAAAGTTCTCACATGGGCCAAGTTTCAGTTCTGCAACCTCACCTCTAGATGCCACTAAATCATACACACTAGACCTTTAACGCTGCAGCTGCTGAAGGTGGAGCTTGTTTAATTACTTTATTTAATGACTTTATACCTTGTGAATTCCCCTGAGGATCAATAAAACCCCATAATATCTTAATCTATAACAACACATCAGAAATTATTAGTTGATTATATTTGTTATTATTCATCTCAATCCGTAAAGTAACAAGAGACTAATGCTATTAACTATATGTAGTGGAGTAAAGTGGAGTGTTTGCCTCTGAAATGTAAAAGAAAACACACAAAAGCTGTTGTGACATTTCACTTTAAACCACATATATCAACCTCATGGTGGCGCTAGACGAAAATTCAGGGAATCATCAAAGTCATTGGGATCCATCCAATAGGAACCATGAATGTCTGCACCAAGTTACATGGAAATCCATCTGGTTGTTGTTGAGATAACTCAGTCTGGATCAAAGCGGTGGAAAGACTGACAGAGTTAAAAGTTAACTTATTTTTCTGAAGTTTAATGTTCAGTTAAACCATAAAAGAATCAACATTTGGTCAAAGGTAGACTAGAGAGCAGATTGGTAACAATGCAGCTAACAGGTTAAATATTTACACAAGTGAAGACAAGGAGAGAAATGATCTACAGCAGAACACAGATTAAAGTTATTAACTGAAGCCTGGAGTTTGACACAGACAGCTCATGCATGGTCACAGTTGGGAGTGTCATAAATCAATCAGATTAAATACTAATTGATCATTATGTCCAGATTTTAAATGAAAAAAATTTAAGCCTTATTTAGCTCAGGTGGGTGAACATATGAAGCAGCCAGATGTTTGCCAGCAGAGAGAAATCACCAGATGGTAGTGCGTGTTAGTTTGGATGATTTGCTAATTATGCGCACTAAATGTATGGGGGTAATTCCAGACTGGGCTGTGTCTATATAAGGAGTGAATCTATCTGTTTACAGGTGCCAGGTATATCATTTTTCCTCTGTTGCCAAGTTACAACACCCACGGGAGTCCCCACACCAGTTGGGACTCCCCATCTTACCATAATAGCATACTGCAACCACAAAGCCACACACCCATACAACTGTCACAGAGCGTACAAGTAGAGTCGAAAGCGAAACCAGGAGAGAAACGGCTGTTTTTGTGTTTTTGTAAACCTCTTCTTATTTCCATTGCTTCACTCGAACACCATAAAAGGAGCTGAGCTGCATCGTGTGTCTTCATGGGCAGATGTGTGGTTTATTATGGCACCTGCTTGTTTTGATAGTATCATCTCGAACAAGAAGAGAAAACACTTTTTGGAGCTATAACAAATTTAACTGTAGTTTTATGAGTGTGATTAATTTCTGGAGTTCTTAGGTTGTAACTTGTTTTTAACAAAAACAAATTGGGTTCCATAATTCAGACAAACCATAATGTCTCACTCTGATAAATGGTGACTTTGCCATGTGAACTATAATCATTTAAAGAATCGTGACTCCATCTACTGGACAAACACGGACACAACATGTTGTGGGATTAAAGTACACTCTCAAAAGGCACATGTAGTGAAACACATTCAGTTTGTACAAAGCTTTAAGGAACAATTTGACATTTTAGCCCCGTTTCCACCGAACACTTTCAGTATAGTACCTTTGGAACCAAAAGTAACCCGTCAGACATGGTACCTAGACCCTTAAATGTGGGTGGGGTTGCGGTCACTCACTGCTCCGTCCAGCACTCAGTGTTACCTCATTACTGGTGACACAGATGGAAGTCTGCACCTCATTTATCATCCACAGAACAAGGTTACACGCCAGCATTTTCAGAACAAAATAGAACAGGCTACAGTGAGAGTCCTTCTCCTTGGGATATTTAAAAATAGCGGGTTTGTGCATTTAGTCCTTCTCAGGCAAGTTCAGGGGGTTAGTGTTGCCGGAGCCCACAGGAACGACGCTCCACAACACTTTTTTTTTCTCCTCCGATTGAGGATTAGAATATATGCAGTTCACATAACCCAACCAAAATTAATATATATAAATGCTTGAAGATCCACTCATTACTAAGTGTATGTCATATAAAAACTAAAGGAATGGTCAAAGTTGTCATATGGAATATTTAAGGTGTGTTGATTGATTCAGGTCGTCACCTCATGCATTGAGTAACATTATGAGTAAACGTTCCACCTTCAAAGTCGTCAGCAATCGGCCTGGTGATTTAAGTTGGGGTTTTTTTCTGACAGCTGCTGCAAGAGGCAGCAAAACATCCTTTGATTTTACAGTTACTGTAATAAAACTCTCCACAGTATGAACAGTGGTTTCATGAGCCTCAAAACCAGCCACAACTCATCCCTGAGCAGAGTGACCGTCCGCTATTGACCGACAGACTGCAGTGTTCACAGCTCCACCTTTTAGTATCAGATCTGTGTGCTAGGTACCCCAACAGAGGGGGGACCAAAAATGGGGACAGTACGGAACGGTTCCATGGTACCATCCCCAACTTTTCACAATGGAAAAGGAAAAAAGTGTACAGAACAGAACTGTACCGTACTGTACTGCTCGGTGGAAACTGGCCTTTTGGGAAATATGCTTGTCTGCATTCTTGCAGAGAGCTGACATAAAGCACCAGTACCTCAGTGTGAAAGTACTTAATTCTTGCACAACTGTACACTTAAAAACAGTCAACTTAATAACTTAACATTTACGTATTCTTATATGATCTTTAATTCTATTTTATATTATGTCTTCATATGTAGACATATAAACATGGGAAAATGGGGTTCCAGGTTAAAAAATAGTTTCCCTTTAAATGCAGAACTTGAGAAAATGTACTTGGTTACTTTCCACCACTGTTAAGAAGAATGATAACACTCCCATATTTACCCTTCCTACCAAATGAAATATTGAAAACTGTATCACTTAAAACACATTTAGTTATTTTGCAAACATGTCCAGACTTGGATATGTACAATTTGGTATTAATACTTCACCATCTCATGACTTTGTGCATCATTGATTACATTTTTAAAGTAATCAAAATAAGCCTATTACCCAAAATGTGGAACCATTCCTTTAAGTTGTATTTGCTTAAAAGAGGGAGTCATCTCACCTAAAATCATGGAGCAAATCAGTGAATTATATAATTAGTGAACTGTTTTAACAATTATTGAAGAACAGATGAGCAGAAAAAAGGTTTAAGAAAAAAGGGAAACTTTATTAGATATCCTGTACAAGGGCCTGACATCACAGCTAGTCGCAGAGTCATTACACTGATGGAGGCTTTACCCTTAAATCCTAAAATGTCTTATGTATGGATCTTAAATACAAGAGGAAATAAATAAGCATCACACCAACATGACCTCGTCATTTGCGTCTCTTCCACCTTTGTGTCGCTCCCAGATGGAAATACGAGTTAAAACTTCGGAAGTTCTCCCAGGTGAAAATACTGCAGAAACTTGGTGACTCCCACCACCGTCTGGAGAAGCTTTGACAGTTCAACCTACTTAATTTTCAGTCTGAAACGCTGCCTCTGTCCCGCTCCAATGGATCAGATCGTCACTCCTTCTCTGTGATGTGCGGCTCAGAGAGTTTTTGGATGTTCAGCTCCTCCACCAGCTTCTCCACACAGGCTGTAAAGAGAGGCTCCGGCTCCTGAGAGACAAGAGGAAGAGCGAAACAGAGTCAGAACCCAATGATAACTCACCCAACGGATTTGTAATGATCATCTTTCTCATTGAAAACAGAGGATACTTGCACTCTGTGTTTCTTATTTATAAGTGTCTTATAAATCTTGCAGCCTGAAATAGAGGAACATTAGCTTCACCACTTTGTTTGAGGTGGAGGATGAAAACTTAAGTATCAATAAACGTCTGAAAAAGCTGCTGAATGAAGTTGAGCTTCAGGCGTTTGTGTCTGGGGATGCTGTTACCTTGTGCTCCAGCACCCTCTGTTTTTCCACGGCCTCCTCCAGACTCAGACCCACCCACTCTGCCTCCTCTTCTGGGATCTCAAAGTGCTGCTTTGACAAAAGAAACAGAAATTGTAACATGTAATTATTTGGTTTTTTTTAATCACAACTCCTCTTGTAGAGTAGCTGGTCAGCATCTAGGTTTAAATTACACCTCTCCCAAAACATTTAGGATCAGTCAGTGGACTTGAACACATCCCACTGACCTTGTATTTGTCGTAGACCTTCTCTCTCTTGACAGGGTCGGAGGGGTAGAGCTCTGTGTTTTTGCGTGCCAGGCGAAGCAACATGGCCCTCTTCAGGTTCATCCCCAGCTTGGAGTTCAGGTCTTCCTTTGATGTCTAGTAGGAGTTAGATAATTCATGGTCATATAAAGATCCAGGTGGAAATATGATTTTGTCACACAAAGGTGGCGCTCTCTTACTTTGAGAATATAGAAGTCGAACCCAAAGGCAGCGTCGATGAGGTCCAGAGTGCGTGGTGTGACTGTGATGGTGAACTTGTGATCAAGGATCTCGCTGTACAGCTCTCTCTTTAACAGTTGAGGTTTCCAGGTCTTCTTCAGACGAGTCGACAGCTGTGGAAAGAGGCGATACAGAGGTATGACGTCGAGAGCTGCTTTGTTAAAAAGTGGTGTGGACTCTTTTAGGCACAGAACAGATGCACAAAACTTATGATTTCTATGATGGTGGTGCTGAGTGTGTCCACTGTGTGCACACCTACTGTGTGTACTACGGTAAAATCATGTGAACACACTGAGCTAGAACTAAAGAAATAAAATCAGTCTCACTTTGTCATTGTTGGCGTATCTGAAGCCTGATATCCAGCCCTCTCCTCCCCACAGGCCGTCCTGGGACTCTGGGGGGTAGTAGATGGGTATCGGCACATCCTGCACCCGTTCCTTCTGCCCCGTCTTTGGGTTGGCTCGGTACTGGACTCCGAGGGGCCTCCAATGGACGGGGGTGGGCTCTTTCTGCTCAAGGGACTTGAGGTAGTGTTGAGGGAGACGAGCATAGATGCCCTGCTTCAGTCTCAGGGCCTCCCACAGTTTGGGAGGGTATTTATGCAAAGGCATAACTGACTGTCAAAGTTAAATCTGAGAGACAGAAAAAGGAAGAATCATTGTTACTCTGTTAGTGCATGAAATCAAGAAGAAAATCAGGAGTTCAATGCACAGCATTACAACTGAGTCAGAGCTGAAACAGGAAACCCTTTCTTTACTAAGTTTGGCAAGTTGCACTGTGGCACGGATTTTTATTATTATTTTATCATACAATATTTATGGTCACAGATTTCTCTCAGTTTCGTTCATAAATATTTTGTTTTCTGATCAGACCAAGTAATAAATTCTAGGTCTGCAACTAATGATTATATGTATTATTATTATTAATCAATTTCTTTTTCGATTGACAGTTTAAATCTACAAAATGTAAGAAAACAGTGAAAAATACACATCACAAACTCCCAGTGTCCAAGTCAACATCTTCAACTGCCTGCAATTGGAAGTAGTAATGCAATGATCAATCAATTAATCGATTAGTTGTCAACTATTAAATTAATTGCTTACTAATTTGGTAATTTATTAATTTAATTTTTTAATTGGTTTAAATAATTTTCTAGGGGGAAAAAAAAGTAAAAATTCTTGAATTCCAGCTTCTAAAATGAGATTATTTCTGGTTTCTTAAATCCTAAATGAAAGTAAACTGAATATTTTTTGACATTTTAGGATGCCATCTTGGGCTTTAGGAAATAATAATCATCATTTTTCACAATTTTCTGAAATTTTGTAGACCAAACAACTAATCAATTAATTGAGAAAATAATCAACAATGAAAATAATCATACAGTTCAGCCCTAATTGGAAAATAGCTTAGCATTTAACTTGATAAATGACGTAAATGTTTAATCAATCATTAAAAATACTGCTGATTATTAGAGTCAGATGCTCCCCTATTAAACACCCCACAAACTAACAATCCCCTACCCATTTTATCCCAGAGTTCCAGTAACTAACCAATGTCTCTACATTGGGATACTTCTCTGTCGCAGGTTTGCTGTGTGTCACTGTGTTTTCACTTTAATTAACCACAAATAATTTTAAGACACCATGTAAGCATCATGTCAGCTGAAATACTAAAAGGTCCAATCACTAGATTTTGACACAGAGACTCAATTTTAGATTTTATTTAGTGGTTCATATTTTACCAAAAAAAATTGGAATTAATCAAATCACCACAAAGTAACTCATACAAACACTAAGACTTTTGGGGACCCTGATGGTCTGGGGCCTCAAGGGGCAGTTTGAGCCCTCAGTTTGTCATTTCAGTCTTGTGATTATTTTTCTTTTAATAAACTTTTTTTTTTTTTTTTTTTGCACCAACAGGCTACAATTAAAAATCGCTCTGGCAGTCTGGTAACAAAGATATAAAATACTGATGCTGATGCCAAGTTAATTGCTGCCATAACATTAACACTAACATTAACATTAAATGATTATCTGACATGATAAGTGACAATAACGTTACTTTTAAAGAAATCAGTGAGCTGCAGCTGGTTGTTTGGTTCAGACAGTCTATTTTAATGAATAAAAATCACTTTACAGAAACTCACGAGCTCAAGTGAACACATTTCATTACGTTTCCAGTTAGCAGGAGGCTAACAGACACAGGCCAACAACACTGTTATACATCTAAACAAGGCCTCTACGGGGCTAATATACTGTTATGAACACGTTCAAACGTTTGTCTTACCGGGTAATAAGAAAACAGTGACTTCCACCACGTAGAAAATCAGTTTTTAAACCACGTTAGCCCAAAATTAAGCAGGCAAGGACATCATGCACAGCCTCCGCTGCTGTCCGACTTCCGCATTGATTGGCCCGCCCACAGGAAGAAGAAACATGATTGGATGGTGGACAGGAAGTTCCCTTAGATGATTGTTTTTCACATGTTGTCAATCATGTAAGAATTTTTTTCGTCATAAATGTATAAAATGTTAAAATACTGTATTAATTTTTGTGACTAATATGTTCCCGATAAACAACGCTGCAGAAAAAACGAAATTATCTTACAAATATTACCATATTATTCTTTCATATGATCCGGATGTATACATTATCTCTACTATTCTCGTTTTTTGTAAATAAATAAATGAATGAATAAATAAACAATAAACCTATGCCCCCAGTGAGTGCGATGATAAAGATATAAAGGCAAAAATTATTTGATGTGTTAATTTAATTTTATTTCTTATTGATATGTTCTTCACTTCTTTATTTCTTAAATTTTCTATTTTATTAATATAATCATTACCCCTCTAGTCTTTGATTCAAATAAAAGTCAGTCATGATATTATTATGACATTTTAATGTTTCTTATCAGAATCAGAGTCAGAAATTGTGATACAGTCACTCTGATGTAAAGTGCAGAAAATTATAGAAGTAGAAATATGAAGTGTTAAATACAATGTACAAAAAATATGCTACAACGTTAATACAAGTATGTAAGATATTAAAGAAATATAAAATATGTAATGTGCTGAGTATGGCAAGTGTGTAAAAAATATATAAAAATATGTTCCTTATGCTACATTACAATGTATAAAACTAGTGTGTAACATTAGAAATTCAGAAAAATACAATATAATAAATATTATATATACATAAAAATATATACATAATTAGAAATTAGAACAACAGATATATATAATATGTGCAACATATGCTGCACAAGTGGGGAGAATATTGCACAGCTGGGTAATTGCTGCAGTTGAATTATTGCACCAATTACTGTACAGGTTATACAGTGTTATAGATCGTTATTGTACCTTTTAGTCACTACTGCACAGTTGCAGTATATTATAATATCAGTATATTATAATATTTATTAGGAGGAGGAAGTGGTTATATATAGGTTACTGTTGCGTGGCTTAACCTGTAATAATTTATTGCATTTGTCACAACAAAAATGCCATTAAAGATGTTAGTGAAACACTTTAATTGCCTTTAGAAAAAGAGCGAATAAAAATATGTGACGGTTCTCCTCATAATGATGTGGACTTTTATTGTGAAGTATCAGGGCACAGCCTGACAGGAAGTAGGCTTATGAGGTAGTCAATAAATTTGATGGGTGTTAAAAATGAAAATAAAGCACGATTCTTCTGGTGTGAACTGTTGAAGACATGCTATGTCAAAAGATTACTTGTGACGACGACTCTTCCATGCAAGTTAATAGGTAAATTTTCATATAATCACTAGTATAGCGTATGATAATATACATGTCATATATACTGCAACTATCGTAACAATTATCGTTATTATTAGGGACGTAGCTTTCGCCCGAAAGGTGGAATTGAACCACTCTGCCGCTAAGCAGCTACAGGTTTGAAGCCTGCACCCCGGACCACCGAGGCTCATCCGGGCATTTGAATCATGGGGAACAGGACCAATATATAGCTCCCACCAGGCGAGACTCTTCTAAGTCAGGGTTTCACTTCAATGCCCACCCCGTGATTGGTTTGTATGTATCAGAGACAGCTCATGCACATGAAGTGCAGTCATGTCCTGGATGTTTTAAAGCACATAAGCGTCAAAAAAAAAAACTCAAAAGGATAAAACCTACTCTGGTCTGTGCTGTTATGCAAAGCAGTCGTGTTGTGATTGGCTGAAAATAAAAAGGTGGTGCCACATGGTTTTTCATGCATTGTGTTATCTCAGTGTGTGACAGTGCAGCCGGTACTCTCTGCACACTGCACACACTCTGTTTGATTGCTTCATACTGTGAACCTTTGCACACTCCTCAATCCTTGGACAACATCATGCACATTTCTGCACATAACTAGTAGTACTAGTATGACTTTCCTCTGTTCTATAGATCATTAATGTCTCTTGGTTTTGGGCAATATTTGCTTTTGTTGTTCTTATTTATATTGTACACCAACACTCCAAAGCAGTACCTGACGACCTACTTGTCGATAAATGGGATTCTTATTTTGTGTCCACCATAAAAAGCCCTCTGTGTGATCTGATTAACTCTCTCAGCCTCATGTTTTTGCTGCTACACATAGATGTAGATTTCGGGGGGGATGCAGGGGACACGTCCTGCTCAATATTGAGAATGTGCGTTTGTCCCCCCGAATGAAAAAATGAAACTAGCAGAGGATTTTTTTGTTTGTTTATCACAAAATTAAAGACAGTTACACCATAAATTGATGCAGAAAAAGCACAAATTGGTGCATATAAAAATTAACAGAATGAAGGAAAGTAAGTTTTTGATAATCATTATTTTCTTGCAGATGATCATCAAACCCCCCATTTCATATGTGTTTCCCCTCAACAACTGTATTTCATGCTGTTAACACTGCTATCGACATACTTAAGACACTTAAACCACCACCCAGTTTCAGTTCTTTGGGTGCCACGTTTTTTTTAGCTTCCTTAGTTCCTCATTTTTATTTTGCCTCAGTATACGTTGTAGTTATTACAATTTACATTTGGCAGATAAAGTATAGGAAGAAATATTCAAATAATTGACTTAAGTAAAAGTAGCAATACCATACTATAAAACAGCTCCATTACAAGAGTAAAAACATATCATTAACTCATTAACAGTGATGTATTAATATGCAAGTGGTACTTAATGCTGTAGTTAGCTGAGCTGGAGTTATTAGTTCATGCTACACTGTGGTGCAGTTTGATCTATAGCATTGCAACATATTTATAAACTGGTCACAAGTTTTGTATCTAAAATTTTTATCTGTAAAGTAACAGTAACTATAGCTGTCAGATAAATGTAGTGGATTAAAAAATGTACAATATTTGCCTTTGAAATGTGGTGTAGTGAAAGTATAAAGTAGCATAAAATGAAGTAAAGTACAAGTGCTGCAAATGATAATAAAGTACAGTAATGGAGTAAATGCACTTTATTAATATCCATAACTGCATGTACAGTATAAAGTGGGCTGTTTTATTTTGTATTAAAGCAGATACTCATAATGTATACAATATTAAATCACATATCTACAGTATACATTTGTTTTTCTGCTCCCTGTTGCTGCTGTGTTACTTAGATCAATACATTTGATATTATCTTAAAATAAAAAGAGACACACTCGAGTATGATTATTTGTTTTATTTCAGTACATAGAGGAGAATACAGAGGATCCAGGTACAAATGAAGCAACATGAGGAAAAATACCTCCATTTTCACAGAATTTCATTTGATAGTGCATTAAAAAATCTTTGGTGTAGCACCGTGTTAATGTCACAAAACTAACAGAACACACAAATAACGTACGAGCACTGTTTAAAGAGAGATTACACTTTCAGATCTGTTCATTTCCCCACCATCCATCATCCTGTTCTGACATTTATTGTTTTGTTTTCTTTCAGGCAGAGAACGTGTTCTCGATGACCAGTGTCTGAGGCTCTGTCTCTGTTTCTCCAGCAGGTGGTTCCTCCTTTAACGGAGAGCAGCACATACTCCCAGCGCAGGCCTTTCCACAGGTGAGGCTGCAGATCAGAGGAGGAGGCACCGAGGGGTCCTCTTTGTGGACAGCAGGGGAGGCGTCCCCTCCACATGTTGCGGAGGAGCCAGAGCAGGAGGCAAACTCTGGCTGAACGGTACAGCAGCTCACTCCTACGCTCTGCAGCACCTTAGTGACCCCTGACATCAGGTCAGCACACCTGGACATGTGCATAATGAAATATATACTTACATGTACAGTACAGGCCAAAAGTTTGGACACACCTTCTCATTCAATGCGTTTTCTTTATTTTCATGACTATTTACATTGTAGATTCTCACTGAAGGCATCAAAACTATGAATGAACACATGTGGAGTTATGTACTTAACAAAAAAGGTGAAATAACTGAAAACATGTTTTATGTTCTAGTTTCTTCAAAATAGCCACCCTTTGCTCTGATTACTGCTTTGCACACTCTTGGCATTCTCTCCATGAGCTTCAAGAGGTAGTCACCTGAAATGGTTTTCCAACAGTCTTGAAGGAGTTCCCAGAGGTGTTTAGCACTTGTTGGCCCCTTTGCCTTCACTCTGCGGTCCAGCTCACCCCAAACCATCTAGATTGGGTTCAGGTCCGGTGACTGTGGAGGCCAGGTCATCTGCCGCAGCACTCCATCACTCTCCTTCTTGGTCAAATAGCCCTTACACAGCCTGGAGGTGTGTTTGGGGTCATTGTCCTGTTGAAAAATAAATGATAGTCCAACTAAACGCAAACCGGATGGGATGGCATGTCGCTGCAGGATGCTGTGGTAGCCATGCTGGTTCAGTGTGCCTTCAATTTTGAATAAATCCCCAACAGTGTCACCAGCAAAACACCCCCACACCATCACACCTCCTCCTCCATGCTTCACAGTGGGAACCAGGCATGTGGAATCCATCCGTTCACCTTTTCTGCGTCTCACAAAGACACGGCGGTTGGAACCAAAGATGTCAAATTTGGACTCATCAGACCAAAGCACAGATTTCCACTGGTCTAATGTCCATTCCTTGTGTTTCTTGGCCCAAACAAATCTCTTCTGCTTGTTGCCTCTCCTTAGCAGTGGTTTCCTAGCAGCTATTTGACCATGAAGGCCTGATTGGCGCAGTCTCCTCTTAACAGTTGTTCTAGGGCTGTCGGCTGTGTATTAACCTGACTTCTGCACAACACAACTGATGGTCCCAACCCCATTGATAAAGCAAGAAATTCCACTAATTAACCCTGATAAGGCACACCTGTGAAGTGGAAACCATTTCAGGTGACTACCTCTTGAAGCTCATGGATAGAATGCCAAGAGTGTGCAAAGCAGTAATCAGAGCAAAGGGTGGCTATTTTGAAGAAACTAGAATATAAAACATGTTTTCAGTTATTTAACCTTTTTTTGTTAAGTACATAACTCCACATGTGTTCATTCATAGTTTTGATGCCTTCAGTGAGAATCTACAATGTAAATAGTCATGAAAATAAAGAAAACGCATTGAATGAGAAGGTGTGTCCAAACTTTTGGCCTGTACTGTACATATACACAGATAGTTACTACAAGCTCTATCCAACACTAAGCCTTACTGTTACTGTCTTTACCTACAGTTTAATACTGATACTATAATCGTTGTCCTGTTATACTGTCTGCTAGCTAAAAGTTAATCCACACCTTCAAGCCAATCAGAATTTAGAATTCCTCATTGGGCATGGTATAAACAGATGCAACTCACCTGTGCACTGGAAACCCAGCGTGGCAGTGAACATGGACAGAGGCCACTATGAATGATCCAGTTAACTGCCAGATGTGGAGGTCGTGCACAGCCTGCACCCCAGGGACACTCCTAATCCTCTGTCCAAGATCAGATGTACAGATGTGTGGAGGTGTGGCCTGTAGCAGCAGCAGTCCATACCTGTGCACCTGGAGAGATTCACCGGTGAAACAACGGCAACAGATACAGCTGCAGCAACATAGGTATGAATATTGTACTCCATTTTCTGCCAATAACCCATAAATCCTACACACTGGGCCTTTAAACTAAAAGCCGTGACACAAACCCACAGAGCCTGACCTCTGGTGCAACTGTGGCAGTCAGTATAATCACAGCCAGCAGGGTGAGGCCAGGATCCACGTAAACCAGGAGGCCGCAGGCTTCAGAGCTGTGCAGGGACTGCGGGCCGACCAGCAGCATCACCAGGCCGCTGACCAGAACCAGAAGGGAAGTACAAAGGCCCTGAATGACGAGGATGAATGACAGGAGACTGACTGGCCATTGGTTGCTCGGCACAGGACTTTCAGTGTGATGTACTGACCCACAGACTGGGGAGGTGTTGGATGCATTCTGACCGTCTGAAGGAGAATAAAAAAGTAAAACATGATTGTTTCAAGGGCTGTGAGATCAGAAATAAAGGGAAAAAAATATACAAAAATGACTGAAACTGGAGTTTAATGCAATTACAACTGACAAAACACTAGTTTCACATCAACGTGTTTTCTGTATTACTCAAATAAAATGTTTGTTTCATGTAAAAAATGTAATTTCACTTGCAGAAACACACATAACCCCTTACAATTGAAAACTAATATTTACACTGACTGACACTACAGTGAGAAAGGTGACAGACCAAGGAGCTTAACTTAATTACCAAGTTGTCTCATGCAGATGTTGTCTTTGGAAATCTCTGTGATGTCTTCTGAATGACGCTCAGGATAGCAAACCTCCAAATCTATAACACCGCTGGCTGCTTCACAGTCTCCGCTGTCCTCTGGAACTGCTGCATGCAGGTGGACTTCTGGGTGCTGTTGTGGGGTTTGAGAGTCAGCGTCAGGGACGCTGGCGGTTCCCGGGTTACAGAGGACAAGCGCCCCATTGTGGAGCGACTCATCCACAGCAGATTGGACGCAGCTAACGTCATCCAGGACTCGCCCCGGCTCAGCCTGGCCTCTGGTTTCCTCTGCAGCCAAGACTGTGGGAGTCGAACAAAGGAATGAAAAACAACACATGGATGCTGTTTGATGTTCCTTACAGCTGAACATACACTTGGCAGCGACTTCAAAGTGAAGTCTGTCAGAGAAATACCATCACCTGGATAGGCACACTAATTCGACTGTAGTGAAAGATTATTGCTACATAATTAATGCCAGTATAAGTACATGCTTTCACATGACATGATTTACTGTGTGAGACACAGACACTGCTCTGCAGCACTGTTTTAAAAATATTTCATGCATCATTGTGAGCTACCACAAATTCCACATTCTCCAAACTGAATACATTTCAGCCACCGAACTGTCTTGCACAACATTAGACTTTGAAATCCTTAAATACAGTGAAAAGTGTGGTTGTCACACACATGGATGGTTTATTGAAGGGGCTTGCCAGGCTCAGGCCTGTGGGCCCAAACTGTCAGTGGCATCTGCAAAATGTCACTCAAATTAAGATGTACTGACCAGACTCAAAACAACTACGAGAAGACACAGAAAGACACAAAATTACCTCAGTTGGATACAAAATGATCTCAGGGAGATACATAATGACTACAAGGAGACAAAAAACAGCCACAGGAAGGCACAGAATGACCTCAGAGAGACACAATACAACCACAAGGAGGCAAAACTTGAATAAAAAGAGACACAGAATGGCCAAAAAAGACACAAAATGACCACAAGGAGACACAAAATGATAACAAAAGACACAAAACGGTCAAAAAACGACACAAAATTACTTCAAAGAGACATAAAGAGATGCATAAAGACACAAAGATCTGCAATAACTCCAAAAAGCCCCTGTGATGTTAGAAAGATGTTAGAAAATGACACATTGTTTTACTGTATATTTGTGCATCATCTCTCACAGTGAACATGTAATCTATGGGTAATGTTACCGCTGTGGTTTACTTCAAGGTGAGACTGGGTGTCAGGCTGTCTGCCGGCCCCGGCCCTCTCATCCTGCAGCTGATCCCAGTTCAGCCAGAGCACCAGTATCTTATGAAGCAGACTGACAGCTCCGAACACCACAAGCAGCAGGGGGCGCTGCACTGGGTGTGGATCCACGGGAAAGCTGACGATTTCCATGAAGGAAGAGAGACACAGAGAGGTCAGGATGAGAACGGAGATGAAATCCCCCATGGGCTGAAACCTGCTGCTGGTGTAGGAGACACCGCAGTTCACAGACCCATCAGATCCATCAGTCACATCTGTCCCATCTGTCCCAGGCACAGATTCGATGGATGACTCTGCAGGCTGGGTTGAGGGAAGTGCTGCTGAGGAGGAGGAAGCGTGTGGAGGAGATGCAGGGGAGTCCAAAGAGGAGACCAGGGGTTTTGTTTTGCTTGCCATGCGCAAGAGGACGAAGAGTGTGTGGAAACCATCCACCAGGGTGATGAGGGACTTGCACAGCTGACTTACAGTAATCTCACACACCAGCAGCAGAATGGTCACTCCCAGCAAGCACCAGTGAAGCACTCTCATACCTGCAACTGAGAGTAGAAAGCACACACTAGAATACTTCATATAAATACTTATGAAGGCTTCATGTTATTAATGTGCTGTGTTAAGTGTCTTCTTGCAGAAGGAATCAACAGACGTAGCAAAATAAAATCAGAGCTGGAGCATTAGGACAAAAAGAGGCGATATCACCACAAAGTCTGTATGTCTTGCTCTTATGTAGGGGAGGTGGTGGGGCCTTTTGCATGCCTGTGCACAGGGGCCCACTGTCTCATGATCTGGCTCTGCCTCTGAGCAACACTGGATATTACAACTGTATCTATTACACTCAGGGTCAGGAACCACAGCAGCCCACACAGATTACACATACCACTGCACTGTCTTAGCTGATTAGATACCTGGTTATGGTGCAGTCATGCTGCTGAGTCGTTTACATTGATCATATTGATGCATACTGTGTGAAATCTTCATCAACTGTCAAGATAAATGTAGTCAAGTAAAAAGAGATTAATCTCTCCCTGTGAAATCTGGTGGAATGGAAGTACTAAGTTGCTAAGTACCTCTAGTACAGTGCTTGAGTAAATGAACTAAGTTACTTTCCACCACCGCTTTGGATATTCATTTAAAATTAACGACACCAGTGTGTCACAGCATGATGGAGCTGGACTGCCATCCACTCCTGTACAATTTTGAGGGACTAAGTATTTCCATTTCCTGCAGCTTTATACATCCAGTCCATATCAATTCAGGTGCAAATATTGTGCATTTACTCCTCTACAGTGATTTTAAACTTGAGTTAAAAGTTAGTTTGCAGATTCAGATTAATAATGAAAAATGTAACCAACAAGTAAATCATGATGTATTATTACAGGTGCAGATAAAACTTGATCCAGGTGGAAATGCACAAGTTACCCAGCAGTAGATAAAGTAATTAAAATGTATTCCACCTTTACCAACTGCAACATTAAAGTAAATAAGTAACATAAATGCATCAGTAATTACAGTATAATTCAGTATAATTTAGATACTTTCACTTATGCAACATTTTGAATGCATGACTTTTACTTGTAAAATAATATTTCTACACTGTGATATTACTACTTTTACTTAAGCAAAAGGTCAGAATACTTTACCTAAAACTAACTAAGTCATAAATAAACCAGCATGCAACACACAACAAACTATTTACACCAGTAGCAGTCTAAAGCTGAATTACCCCAGAGAAGAGGACAACCCCCGGCCAGCAATCAGAGGGAAGCTGAGTGTGATCTGTGCGCCGAAATCAGGAAAATGTCATTCATCGTGCTCACCATCTCTCCCTCTCTGTCCCACCACACTCCTCCTCTGCTCTAATCGCAGTCATGTGAGCTGGGGAGGAGGAGGAGGGGGAGGGGGAGGTGGTGGGTGGTGGTATCGTCCTCTCCTCAGTCATCCCTGTTTGCATTCCCTCCTCAGCTCATTGGTGGGAGAAAATACCTCCAGTGGATGATCACATGGCCCACCCACTATTCACACTCTGAGCAGATCCAGTGAAGCTAATTTGCACTCATTAAATCCCCATTGTGTTGTGTCAGGATTATATAACCAGATCGTGAGGTTATGTCTTCAGAAAAAGAATTAGGGAAAACATGTGGCTGCTTAATATAGAATAAATAAAACAACCATTCCCCATCTTGGTAATATTTGAGTGCCCAAATAATTAATCAGAATATACTGTAAAAAAGGAGGGAGCACTGCTCTGACAGGGATGAAAACCAGGTGCTACTAGGCAAATACTCACAATAGTTCACATTTCTGCACTGTTCGTAATTTCTGAGAGTTGTTAATATGTGCTGTTGGGTTATTCAGAGCACCACACCCCCAGTGAAGCAGAGCGTACATTGGGCACTCAGTCTGGGGAGACAGAGCAGCCGAGAGTTGAGCTGAGTAAATGTGTGATTAATTTAACAGTTCATTAATTTGTGTAGAAATAGAAAGCTCTGTTTCTTTGAACAGGACTCTCATTTGAGTGTAAAGTGTCAGATTGGATTCATGAATGCACCTGAAGTGCCTCCTGGCTGTAACTTCATATTTATCGTACAAACACGTGAGTGGTGTTAATCTTCTCATCTAACGAGTGAGCTTATTGCACTAAAATCTCAAACTGTCCCTTTAAAGCCAACTTAATTTTGTCTATATCTGCTTTTTCACGCTCTGTAGAGGTGGCTCATCCCCTCTGTCCTCTCTAATGCTGCAGTCCCGTCAGCCCCTGCTCTCATGTGCCAGCACTCAGGGGTCTGTTGCAGTCCACTGGACTGCGAATCAACAGGCCAGATAGGGGCTGACACCATGGATAAATCCCTACTGTTCTACCAGCATGCCAGCACATTCCTGAGGCACGGCTAAGCCCAAGGAGAGATCCCAGCGAGGAAGCATTTGACCACTTATCAAGACAGAGAGAGAGGCCACAAACCTGGCAGCTCGGCCAAACTTTTTCAAAGCTGGTTTGTAGTTATTGAGCTCTGACTGCTCCTTTATCTTAAATTCTTTAAAGCTACTATGATTGATTTTTGGAACAATCTGAAAACACAACAATGACATGATCACCTTAAAGCGGGAGAAGGCAGAAATCTGGAAAAGGCAAAAAGAAAAGAAAGAGAAAACCAAAATTAGAAAATACGCCCCTCCTCCTGCAGCTCACCCCTCCCACCAAATGACCATGTGCATATGCAAGAGCTTCATACAGTAACCCAGTGTTTCCCATACATTGATTTATTTAATCTTATTTAATTATAGAGTTGCACACAGCCCATTCACCCAGCCTTGCCCTGCTCTCTCTCTCTTTTTATCAGACCACAAATGAAACAATAATTAGCAAGCTAACATTAGCCACCTGACTATCCCTTCACCTAGCTCCCCGCCACTGTAGCTTGTTTCTCCGGGAGGAGATCAGGCAGCAGCTTGAGAGACAGACTTTCGGTTGACGGCTATAGCGCCTGGAATTCAGCCAGGTGTCACAGTGAGCTGTTGTTCAGCGGCAACACTGGGTCTAACATGTTTGCTGATCCAGCAGGTATTCGGGGCTGTCTGGTCCCTTGGACCTGGGTCGGCGCTGGCTGTATTTGGGTTGCTGCAGCTGCTGACTGAAGGTCTGTCGCCAGAGCTGCTGCCCGCTCTACCCTCAGCAAAGTGGTCTGTGGCGGCGGGGAGCATCATAGCAGAAGGCTAAACTATTAGCAACATTTTTTCTCCATCTCCGAAACTCTGATATTGACACACGTTTTATTGCATTTACTGTCAGGTTCTCATTAGACTCTCTCTTTGATAAGTGCGTCTGCATTTTTTTTTTGTGTAGTGTAGGCAGCTGTTACCAATGCTGGAAAAGCAACGCTCTCCGCAGGGTTCTCCACCCATGAATCAGCCTTTCCCTGGAGGGACGTGCATGCACATTTGCATTTGTAGAACAGCCAATAGGAGCCAACACATTCTCACTCAGACCTTGTGACATATCAACGTTTGGTAATGGAAATTCCACGTCCAGATACAACATGCAAGGTACCCTGGGTGCACTGGTTGTCGATATTCTTGGATGCCATGTCAAGTTGATGAATGAATGTATGAATGAATACAGTCCCTTTCAAAATAAATGTATGTCAGTACAACAAAGCAAATTGCTGTTGGCTTTATAATCTTACAGGAAGCGAACACCACCCTCTCAAGTGAAGGTCAGTGGTTGTTGAACCCATCCACCACCCCTCTGTTCTACCACACTTGGACTTTTGGCACCTTAACGTTCATTCTTGCCCCACGCATTTACCCATGATGCCGCTGAGCGCCTTTAAAATATAACAGTGACTGGCTGCGTATCATGTCGATGTTAACGCACGGCTTCTTTCGTCATTGTCTGACACTGCAAGTCACCGCCCAACTGCCAGATTTCGATGACTTTAGATTGACACCGGGTTGTAGGAACGCCATCTCTCTGAAAGGGCCAAAGTCTCTCTTCACAGGCTGGATTTTCTAAAGCCTTAAAACAGAGCCAAGAGGAGGTGCAGAAGTTTTGTTTTCTCTCAGAAAACTGAAATTACAATACACTAACATTTTATAATGGGATTTTTTTGCCCTGTGACACCACAATTAAACTGCCTACCCCATCTTTAAGTAAGGGTTAATGCCCGACGAGGTGTCCATTATGGACTAAACGTTACGTGATATTATTCAGAAGATGATTATTTCAGAAAGCCAGTGCTCTTCTTACCGCTTGTGTGTTACAGACTCTGGTGGTCAGAGGATGATGTGCAAAAAAACCCTTGAGATATTACTTTCATGATTCATTGGTGTTCATTTATAGGCCCAAGAAAATTTGTTTCAAATAATCAACATCCAAATAGTAGGCTAGTCAAAATCGTTTTTAATTGCAACAAATAATTCATAAGCACAGGCCTATAGTAGGCCTAGTCGAGATTAAATCATATAAACACATTAACAAATTGTTTCCTATTGAAAATGAAATGCTACATTACCATTAATAGTGAAATTTGAAAGTGATATGGGTATGTCCATAATAGTGGCATTTGAAGGACGGAGATTGACAGATTGAGCACTGCTTGTTGGGAGACATTTGGAGACAACAAGATGTTGCTCCAGTCTCGTCTCTCCTGCGCTGACGGAGCCCAGTAAGCCTGCAGGCTGCTCTCACACCGATGTCCCGTGACGGTCATGATTTGACGAGTTTCCAGGCCGGCGTCAGAGAGCCGACCTACAGCTGTGGTACAGAGGCTGTGATTGGTGTAGACCCGCGACTCCTTGTGCAATTTCTCCCTTTTCTTTTCATTCCCTATCCTCTCTTCTTCTGCATCCCAGTCATCAAAATGATCAAATTCACCAAATAAATTAAATGAAACGATAAAATCACTCATGATGCCCATTGTAATCCATTGCCTCTGCTCCGAGTCTCCGTTGCTATGGTTACAAACTAGCCGTTGAGCCAGCGCAATAATTTAGAATCTGTCATCAGGCAATTTGACCCGAACGTCTTTTAGCTGTCCTATAACACCTTTTAACGGACACCCTGCAGCCAATCAGAATTCAGTATTCACCCAGACCATGGTTTAAGTTGTTATGTCAAACATGTTAGCTAACACTTAGTCTCCATATACAGACTCTACATTCAGTGAATGTAGAGTCTGTAGGCAAACCCCGGAGATCTTGCCTCCGGAAGAAGAGCGGACGAGCCCTGGTTTCCGGTTGTAGGCTGTAGTCCGCGTGATATTGACCGATCATGTTTGAGCCGGCTGCAGTTTTTTGCAAGGTTAAACTGTCCGTGCAGTGAACTAACGAGGCTATCTGCTGTCGCTGTCTGCTGGAAGTCAGACGCCGAATACAGCTGATGGGTTCTGAGAACGGCTAAAACTTGACTATTTTACACTTCCAACAGACATGGAAAAACTTTGTGTTTTACGATCATATATTTAGCCAACTATTACTGATCATCATTTCATCAGTATCTTAATGTAGCTGCTCAAAGTACAACTACTTTATGTGGCCTCCTTTAAACCTTAAATTATCGTTCATTTTATAAGATAGGCTAATATTTTTTTGTATAAAAAACCTTAGTCTGCACAGTAACTGTAGCTATCAAGTAAATGTAATAAAGTTAAAAAAGTACAGTTTGAATTATGGTGTAAAATGTGTAAAGTGGCATCAAATAAAAATACCCAAGTAAGATTGCATATAAGCACAGAATGTACAGTACAGAGTTCCACCACTGATAAATATTAACTACTAACTTCGTCTGCCAATGAAGGTGAAGATGATGGGGCTGAAAGCTCAAAAAAACAAAGTGAACCATGTGATAAGACTTTTTTGTCCAACTGCTGTTCACAAAGTCAAGAATGGACCTTGAATGCAACACATTTATGGTAATTTAGCTTAAAAAAGATGATTGTTGCAGATTCATTTTCTATTTATTAATCATTTCTAGCATCAGTCACCTGCAGTTTCTGATTCTTACTTGCTGTTTGTGCAACAGCCTTCTCATAGATGTTAATATTTTATACCAAGTGCTCTTTTATGCTTTAAGTCATTTAAATATCTTCATTTCTATTTTACATATTGTTTTATATAATTTTTGTATAATTCCTTTCTTACTGTTGTGTTTCTGGCGAGCAGTTGCTGGGTTGGTCTTGTTACAAGAATTTCATAATTTGTCTGGATTTATCTCGTGTGCAGATGAACAAAAAAAAAAATCCTTTGAGCCAAACCAGAGTAAAGAGCCGTCTGCAACCGGTTAATGTTTATGAAGCAACATACCTGATCCTGTTTAAGTTTGATTTCCTGCTGGGAGCACGCATAAATCGGTAACAAATAAAGTACAGCTTCTTCTTACATTAGACTGAGGGCAACAGAAAATGTTTTGACTTCAAACTAGGGATGTCACTTTTGGTTAATTTAGCACTTGATAGCTTGCAAAATGAGGTGAAATACAAGAGACCTGTCCTTCTGGTCCGGGGCTCCAATGATTCAGTGGGCTTTAGCACCACATTTCAAAGCACTATCAATTTACAGGTAGTGACATTTTAATGTTTGTGATGTAAATGTTTTGCTTTTATTTTAATTTCTGTTGTCTTTGCTGACCGACAGCTGGCTAGCCGTTAACATGTGGAAATATGGTGCCCACGGCCCACCTTTCGGTTTTCACTGATTAGCTAACGTTAGCCTTGGACGCTCTGCACTGTGCACCACTCAGTCGGATGGTTTTGCAGCTCAAAATCTGAGACATATATAGCTGCAGACACATTCCGTATGCAGCATAGACGACGTGCACCTACAAACTGTGCTCACCACTAGTGCAAGACAAACTTATCTGAACCCTGCTACGCTACGTTATGATGAACAAATCTGGCCAAATGTATCCATAATTTACTTTATGACCCATTATCCACAAAGATGTGATTCACCTTATAAGAAACAAGATGTAGCCCTTCCTAATGTCCTTACCCTGACCTTTACTGCCTCTCTTTTAACCTAATACTTCACAGTTAGCTAAACACTAACTTAACATTTTCCCCAGGGCTTCCACCTCTGGACCGAGCAGTAAAGGGACAGAGGAGCGATGGGGGCTGATTGTGGACTGATGTGTAGGTTATGATGGACAGGTCACGTAGCTGCTTCAGCTGTTTGGGCTACTCCCTGAGGCGACATGAAAGGGAGACTGTTGGGTCAGGACTACGTTACTACTTTGCTATTGCTCAACATTCTTGTCAATGACTAATATTAGCTTTTGTTTTAAACTGTTAACACACTACTAAATATTTCAGGAGGAAAAAATCTAACTATAAAGAGAGAGGTGGAGGAAATCTGAGTACAAAACAAAGGTCACTTTTAAGTTACATTTTTTGTGTTGGTGGCACTAACATGGCTGTATGGCCAGACCTGTCACCAAAACACAACAACAGACAAACTCAGATTACAAAACACGAAGAGGGATTGCGTTCTCTGCTCAGGACGCCATCACTCCACTATATCTTTACATAGAAAATAGTTATTTGCTGCTGTATTAATGCTCTGAATATTGCATACAGCACCTTTAATAAACGTATCTGATAATGTTCTGACAGCGCCTTTCATTTATTTTCCTACATCATCTGCTTGTAGCAACTAAGGCATGACTCAGAATTTGTAATGGTTACGTTGAAGCACTCACAGCCCTTTGTTAAGGTTAGGAAAAGATCACGGTTAATACTGAAAAAATTTACTTGAAGCTGACTTGAAAAGAGTGAGACAACTTGTCTTCCTACAGTAGACATTGCCAGTAAACATAATCCAGGAATCAGTTACATTTCCCATTAAAAAGTAATTAGCAAAACAAATTAGTAACATATAAATATAGTTTCTATGAGATGCCTGAGGAGGGTTGCCTGAGGAGACTGCTTCATTTTGAGGGGTCATAACAGAAAGGCTACTCATACAGCATGTTAGACATTTGGCTCAATCGAACAGTCTGTTAATGTTGAATTAAATTGTAATTATATTAAAATCACATTTAAATAGCTTCTGACTGTCACAGTCTCCACTCTGTGCACTACTGGAACATTACTGGGCGGGAGTGGATTAGTACAGACTGGAATTCTTCACATACAGAGCAGAGTTCCCACCCTGTACTCGACCCCCCGCCACAGCTTCACACCCTCACTGCAGGAGACGTGAACTGACCTCTCTTGGGGTGAGTTTTTTTTTTTTAAAGGAATGTAACAGAAAAAATATCATGATTCTTAGGATACCAGTCTGGTCTGTAGCGGCACTGGTCTAGAGTAATGGTGGCACTTTTTGTAAAGAGAGAGTGTTTTTGAATATTTTACATGTAATTTTTCAGCTATGCCAGTGATGTGGCTCCATGGTGATGTCTGTTGGTCCCTCACTTTGGTCCAGACTCAAATATCTCAACAACAATCAGCGTGAATGCCACGATAATAACATTCCCATCAGTCTCTGTTGTATTTTGTTAAGAGCTAATTATTAAGTTTTGTCAGACATTTTACTGTCATTGCACTCGTTACACACAAGCACCATCCTTTCCTCTCAGCTGAATTTCGGGGGGACTGCACCATGAGGGTAAAGTTGTACTGAGACGTGTGAAGCAAAGTTAATTTTCTATTGAACACGACGTGACAGGGTGGGGTCAGAAGTTGAACATTTGAAAGTTTCCTGCCAGCTATGCAGTGTTTTGTCAAGTAAAAAAGTAATGCAGTGATAGATCAGGAAGTCTTTACCTGCTGTGCTGTGGAGGAGAATAACATTGTTGTATTACTGTCCTTTCTGTTGTCCCTCTTCTCTAAGGTCCTGGCCTCCAAGATTACCAAAACAAATACAAAGTGCTTTGCACAATGTCCCAAAAGTAATGAAATAAAGTGCAAGTTGTTTATTTGCACAATGTTGGTTCATTAACAAGCTAGTTGCTGCCAAATTCTTTGGAAATGTGAACAAAGGTTCATCTCTTACTATGAAAATGCTCCATGAGCTGCCCACACTGATGCTCATGGTTTTATACGATGGCCGTGGTTATCTTGTCAGATCACATTTGATTGGACACATTTATCTATCCACACAGACTTCAAGATGAGTCGACACAAGTATTTCTTCATGTTACAGGAAGAGGAAAGGGGGATTTAGATATTAAAGGACTCATAAATGTTTTTTTGACACATATACTTATAACAAAACATCCTTGAACAATTAACACAGACAAGATTCGAACTCGCATTTTTCATTTCCTGACTTCTTTGATCATTGCTGTGCCCAGTCCTGTGTTAATGTCATATTAGTTATCATAATTGTCTGACTTGTGAATAGTATCGACATTAACACCAAAGCCATAATTTTCCACTGCGATATTTGGGATTGAAAAAATTGAATGTAGTGAGTATTGAAATCCTCATACAAACTACTCTGTAATCATGCAAATATGTTAATGATGTGAAAGCCTGCAAGTTACCATGGGAATTGTTCCCATCTCTTTATTCCATCCCATAAGATGTGAACTTCGCTTAAGTAATGCCTCAGCAAGCCGATACTGTGGAGCAGGGTTACTGAACTGGCTTTGCTCGGGGGACGCTTTTGCAGAATGATAGGAGGCCAGAGATCACTTTATACACAAACAATAATTAATATATAAATAACTAGTCTGGACTTCTGTCAAAGGGTCCAGCAGATCTCCTCTAACACTTAAAAAAAAAAAACAAAAAAAGCAATAACCACAAGCTTAAAGTTTTTCTGCACTCTGGTACTTTATCTACATTTAAAGGGGAAAAAAAGTCTGAGTGTGAATAAATTTATTTTCATTGTGAATTAGAAATTGGTCAGACGCCCACCCAGTACCCTATCGTGGGCCACATTGGCCTGCGGGCTGTAAGTTAAGTTTCACTGCTGCTGACTTTTGATCCTAGTTTTATTTGTGCTGTATAATGTTTAAAAGGCCTGAAACACCTAAAATTGTCACAGGACTGCCTGAAAATTTTAATTTTGAATTGCAGGAACATGTTTTTTCTGCCTTTCTACCCACAGGTTGCAGTGTGACGGGCTGTTTGTTAGTGCCAAACACACTGATCTGATCCCAGCAGATGTAAATGTTTATTTTTTTGTACTGATCAACAAAAAGTTGAAAAATAACTCTAAAACAAAAAAGAAACAAATGAGGATTACCACCTTGTGGTTGTGTGCCTCCATGAATCAGTCATGTTGCAGTTTACATCCATGTCTGTCCAGACTCATGCAGCCATGACAGCTGACACTGCTTTAAATATGGATGTTGCTGCAAAGAAGCTTCATCATCTACAACTTCCCAAACATCTTCAACCAGGCAGCACAGAAGATCCATACAATAACCACAGTGTCAAGGTGGACACCCAGGATAATGTGACCAATTAATTATCTGACTACATCTCCCCTTCTATGCTGAGTTACAGCCAGAAAATGTGATGAGAATGGGACATACATACGTACTTATACTAACGTACAACCCCAAGACATAATGTCTCTCGCTACAGCTACAGCAGGCATGGAGGCATAAATACACTTTTAAAGGGAGTGTACCTTTTAATATTGTCCTAATTACCTAGAGGCTTTAAAGATGACATATTTGAACAAGTCACCAGCTTTATCCAAAAATCCCCCCCTGACCTGATCTGAACAGTTTCCCACCTGCAGACAATGAAGCATTCAGTCGTATCATTTAGTCATTACATGCATTTATTTGAGAGGAACAAATTTCGCCATACATATCTTTGTGATTACCAGCACATTTCAATTAAGTTAACAAATTATTATTAAAAATTTCTAAAAATTAAAGCATAACAAACAGTGGGGGCAAACTATCTGTTGGGTGGAGAGAGGAGCAGGAGGATTGAATGCTGCTCCTTTAAAGAGGAAAAGAAAAAAAACAAACAACACATCCGCCTGTGTCTGCCTCAGGAAATAATCCAAGCAGCTCTCTTCACCAACACGTTGACATTTAATGGAAAATTGCTCGCTAAAATCCTCGCTCTGGAAAATTCAGGATAGGAGTTGGGATGTGAACGGGAACATCGGCGCCTGCGGCGTGTTGTACATGATGCTGCTCAGACCTTTGCTTCCATCTCTTCTGAGGGAGAACACAACCACCAGCGCCCCCGTGTGGCTGCAGCTTCACCCAGCAGAGTAGTGTTAAAACAACAAGGACTCAGATGACAACTATGATTGCTGCTTCCTTGTGTTCATTACTGCACCCCGACTGCTTCTGTAGTCAACCATTCAATCATATTTACCTTTCCTTCCAACACAGATTACTCTTCCCCCACTCCCTCAAAACAAAACTAAATATTTGCTCTAGTCTGAATCTGAAATATACATCAAACATTGGGGTGAATCTTTAAAAGCAACCCCCACAATGGAAAAGAAAAGATAAAATGAGGATGGGGGGAAAGAGGTGGGGAAATAAATCAGAAAAGGCTCATATAGCTATAAAATAAATAGAAAATAAGTGATTTCTCAAAGCAGCCCAAACAAAAAACGAAGACTGAATCAGAAGTGGTGAGTGTTGAAGGCAACATGAATGGTGAGCTGGAGCGGTGAGATGGCACAGAGTACCAGTGGAAGACCGAGGGAGAGGGAGGAAGGAGGAAGGAGAGGGGAGATGACGACAGAGCTGCTTTTCTTTAGAGAGTCTAACGAAACAATGACTGGTCGAACAAAGCAATAATAGTGTCTGAAAGTTGCAGGAAAATAAAGATGATTTTACTGTTAATAACTCAACCAAAAGCAGACGTCTTGCTTTTCAACATTCGCAAAAGTTCTGGGTTTTTCAGCTGGGAGAAAAATTAACAACTTTATCACTTTCAAAAAGCTTTGTTTTTTTGTTGTAGTGGAGGCAGGCGGGAGACAGTTGCAGCTCCTCCTCATCAGATCTGAGGATGCTGACTGGAGGGGGACACTGATTCCTGAGGGGCCAAAGTGAGCAGAGGATGAGGAAACAGACGAAGAGGGAGGTCACTTTGGCAGAGGTCCCTTAAGAGTTTTTTCCCCCCCTGAAGGAGGAAAAACGATCGGGAGTGGAGACACAGACAAAAAACGTAGACATTTAAACAGACACGTTAACATCTTTAGCTTCCTCGGATATAAAAGCCTCTGACAGTGAACTATTTGCACCTCTAGAACAAGTGTTTAAAGCCAGCAGGTCCGCTCAGCAGGGTCCATCACCGTTACTTTGTCTTGTGACTGTGCCATCAATCCCACTCGTCTCAGTATCAGAGTTACATCTTTGTGTGTGTATGTTGTGAAAGAAAAACCCCGTTAAATTTCTAGTTGTTTCCCGAACTACAGTGGAAATCTACGCAGGAGAGCAACAAGAGGGCTGTGAGGTCCATGTTCTGTCTTTGGTTAGTGTTTATCCCCCAGCTCTCTTCGTCCTCACTCACAGGCAGCTGCTTGTGGGTAAAGATTGCAGATTGACAAAATGTAGTGATAACCAGGTGATTTTATTTCTCTCCCCACCTCTTCCTCATGTGCATATATGTATGTGTGTTTCAGTGGTTGATGTAGTGTGGATGTTGAGGGTTCCTTATTTGTCACGGTGAAGCTCTGGAAACAGATTCAGTCCTTTTGTTTCTTCCCATGAGTTTCTTGTATTTTCACGTACAGAGCTTCAACTGTAACACCAGGGCTTCTGTCCTTTATGGAAAGGTCGTGTTGGTGGTAAAGTCAAAAAAACGACAAAAACATTGTAGGGCAACCAGTCATGTTGTAGAGCCGTACAAACTGTCTGGGTGCTGTTTGTTCCTGTCCTCACTGTCCCTGTGGAAGCAGAAGAAACCAGATGAATTAGTCCTGAATGTGTCAGTAAATATTTGTACAACCAAACTCAATAACGGCACACCTAATTATTTGGGATGAGCAACACGGCCTATAAATAATATTACAATATTTATAGGCTGTATCGTGATGCACAAAATATGTATCTCAATATTTTAAATCTCTTCTTGACTACTGTAGACTACTAAAATACTAAACTACTGGTTAAATAACGGGGATCTAAACGACATTTTACTCCTAAGTGAATCTTTTTATATTTTTTCCCTTCAGACTCTCAGTCCTCGAGGTCTAAACCAGGAGTATGATATCAAACATTTTTTCAAATATTTTTTAATTTTAATTAATTTTTTTAAGACTTAAAATAATTTTGTATTATATATAAAAAATCCTAAGAGGTGTCAGTTTTTTATAAATTATCTTAAATATGATAATGAAGGTGAGCAATTAATGCTTCAAGTTGGTTGTGATGGCATAGTGTTTTTAAAAGTATTAAAGAATATTTAAGAATCTTTATTTAAAAATATTGTATTTCTATTTTTAAGAAGTTTTTTCTATGTTGGCCACGTGCTCTTACACTCTTTTGAATTAATATTTCTATGCATTTCTATATTATCTTTTTCCATGTATTTTTGCTAAATTGGTTAATTGGAGATGCTCAAAAGAACACAAGTGTTTTTAATGTTTGGCCACACCTGTCATCACTTTGACAGCTCACTGGTGAGCAAAAAGATACGTATAAATATGGGTGTGTGCATCGTATGAGCACTGTTTGACCTGATGAAGATCCAGAAGGGATCGAAACGTTGTCCTAATAAACCACAGTTGTGACTTGGAGCAGTGTGCAGGCTTTTTTCCTTTTCTTTGATGCTTGTTGACAGCCTTGCACCTACCGGTGATGTCCGTATATCTCCTCTTCCTCTAAATAACGTACTGTAACAATAGAGTTAAGTGAAGTACACACACTGTTACCCAGGAGAGAGGAGTCTGGATGTGTGGGGCAGGGCATGTAATGTATCATGCTTGTGAGTCCTTTTTAGTGTATCTGACAGGGAGATACTCAAGAGAACTAAAACATCAAAGAGACTCTCATCATGGTAGCTTAAAAAAATGGCATGACAATTTACACCAGATGTCCGTGTATAGTCATTTTATACATCCCATGTGAAACAAGCTGTGACACATTGAGTATTATCGATATATCTCTCACCCCAACCAATTATCCAAGATAGATACAAATCTTTTTTAAAGTAAAACCCTCTTCCTCAAACTGTGCACACAGTGGTGTCTGAAGCCATTACAGCACTTTTTCACAGCACATCGTTGTCATTAAAATGCTTCTTTGGCTGCACAAACACATGCAAACCTAAAATTCCTTCTGCAGTACTTGCAGCCTTTACAAGTTGTCAACACTGGCTGCAAACAGTCTGACATCAGTGTCTGTAATAGATGATTTCAGCCACAGTGCTGCTGTGCAATTACGAGCATTTCCAAACTCTTCCTGGTCGATATAAAATCACTGTATAAACAGGAAGGCAATCCAGACTTTAAAAATTAAAAAGCCTTTATTGTAGTTGCTACATTGTTAAAAAATAAACCATATTTTGACCAGTACAGGTCTTCCTCAGGGCTTTAAACAAACAGACGACACAACTTTGGCCTGATCTATATAGTAGCAACAGCTGATGGGTTGCAATCACATGACCCGGATAATAACATGACATGTGAAACAAATTTAATATAGTATTACCCAAAATAACATAAGATGAGATTACATAGTTGGATCCTCTTTTTGTGATGTTGCCGTGTTTCCAGATTCCAGCAATTAAATTGGTGAGCACAATGTTATAACAAATAGAACAGATGGCCAGAGATACAAAAGTACTTTCCCTTTAATTTCCCATAAAACTGTGTTTCTATTTCCTTAATGAAATGTATTTCCTGGTAAGGATGTCAGGATCAAACACAGTGAGGGATCAATGTGATCTTAACACTAACGGGATATTATTAAAGGAAAGAAAGGCAGACCTACATGTTCAGCATGATGTCACTAAAGCCCTTTTCACACTTGCAGTCTATCTGTGAAATGTTCAGAAACATTTCCTGTATGGGGTCATGTCGCAATGGAAGTAAAGATCGATATTCAGAGAAATATAATAGACTCAGTAACACTTCAGGGAAAATGCCAGCACAGCTGTGGTATGAATGAAAGCTGTAACATTGCAGGGACAACCATGTAAAGGGTTACATCCATTTGACTAAGATGCTTTCATATGGGGCCAGCGAACCAATCACAAGACTCCGCTGATGACGTATTTGAATCAGCAACTTGTTTACAGTGTGCATCAACACTTTCTCAGGTGATTTAATAACTGACAAGCAATAAAAGTTTTTTTTTTAAACAAGCTCCTTTATGTATAGAACATTTCACTGGAATTGTGTCGCTGGGCATCAGCTTGGGTCCATGTTTACTTCCTGTCAGCTGATGCTATTCAGTGCAGAACATTTCCAACATGATATACAAAGGGACCCATTTACAGTCTTTATGTTGTCAAGTTTTAAACGGTCTATGATAAAATAGAAGAGATGAGTTCCGCCGCAAACACGTGCATCCAGCCTGGCTCCATCTTCTTCGTTTTCTGTTGAGTTTTATGACGGTTGGCGTCCAAGTGTTGCATTATCACCATCTAATGGACTACACCTTGCCTTATCTATTCTGGCATTGCCATGGCATTTGTGAAAAGATGTACCCTAACTGAAATGTTATCCCAGTAATTTACCGGGAACTATGTGTGAAAACGGCTTAATAGAGATATGGTGCTTTAGATAAAGGTAGCTTCTGTATGACGGAGTCTGTGTTTCATGGAAAATGATGATAAATCTACTGTAGGTCTACTTGTGATTTATTTTGATCTATTGTACGTAAGTATAGATAAAGGTTTACCTCACAACCTCATGGTGCGTCTCTCCCCGTCTCCAAACTGGCTTCTAGCAGCAGGTCCTCCAGCTCTTGTCCACAGCTGACACTCACTACACAGGTGACACATAACACACATCACCAAACAGAACTGTCACACGCAAAAGCAACTTTATCTATCTAAAAAACAGCAGAGATCAGAGATTACGGTGACTCACCGTGCTCCATCACACAGCTGCCAGGCTTGGGGCTTTCAGTGTCGAGAAGATGGAGCGAGAACTCAGGCTTCAGGCCGTTGGGCAGAGCTGAACTAACTACTTCCTCCGGCGCCTTGGCAAAACACTCGCTCTCGTCTGCAGAGCTTTCATCGGGTGAATCCTCGTCTTTGACCGGGGAGACGGACTCAGTTGTGGCAGGTTCAGGACTTTCTGAGGCTTCTCCTGCTTGAGGATTTGTCTCCTGAGCTCCACCTTGAGTGACAGATTCCTGTTCATCAGTCTGAACAGAGAGAACGGGCTGTACTGCCTGTTCATCAGCCTCCATTGGCTGCTTTGGACACGGCTCCTCTTGGCTTGGCTGGATGTCCTCTTTCTCTGTTAAACTGGGCTCTTCATTTTCTGACAAGTTGGCTGGTGCTTCCTGCGTCTCCTGCAGTGGAGGAGGCTCCTCTTCTGCCTCCTCTATTTGGTTCAGTGATCGGCTCTCCTCTGACGCAGCTGCTAGCTCATCCTGTAGCTGTTCAAGAGCAGATGTTAACGGCTGCTGCTGTGTTTGTGCCGCAGATATATTGGTCTGGGTTTGACTCAGTTCATCTAACAGTTCACACTCTCCTTCTGTGCTCACCTGTCTCTCACCTTCTACACTCTCTTCCTCCTCTCCTTCCTTCTGTCCTTCTACACAAGTAGGCTCAGGTTGGGGGCTTTTAGTGTTCTCTGTTACCTCCTCAGGGAGCTGAAATGCTGAAGCCTGCACTGGTTTGAAAGAATTTGAAGGCAAGGCTGGTGTTTGTTGACTCAGATCTGTCACTTCTGGATCTAAAGTGCTTGCTGTCACATCCTCTGTGGGTTGACTTGTTGACTGTGTTTCTAGTGTAGTATTTAGTGCGGACTCCAGGTGTGCGACAGGACTCTGCTCTGCCAGTTTATAGTCTTCTGATGGAGCAGGCGAGCCCTTCTTCACGTCCTCCTGTGTCAGATGTGTTTGTGTAGGTGTTTGAGATGAGGGCGGCAGCTGTGTCTGCTGTGCTGTGGGTGTATTCACGTCTGCAGGCTTCTTTGAGGCCTCTTTAGCCTGTTTGGGAGCTGCGGGTGCTTTCATCTTGAATTGTAGCTGCTGCTGCTGCTGCTGCTGCTGCTCAGGGGGGCTCTCCACTCGAGTTACCATGAAGATCTTGTGACCCCTCCCTGGACTAGAGACAGATATACAGCGACCAGGAGAAGGAGGCGTGCCAGGGGGAGCTGTGGATTCTGTGACTGTGATGCCGGAAATGACACTCTGCCCGCCAGCAGGTGAGGCGGACGGGGGTGAGGACGTATGTGAGGCACTGAGGAGGGGCTGTGTAACCCCTGTCTGGGTTTGAGGTGCAGTCTGCTTTACGAGAGTGGAGGAGTTTGAATTGGAAGTGGAGTTTGTCACCACTTCCTGTTCCTCCTCATCCTCAGTGTCTGAGTCCGACTCTGGGATCATTTGAGGAGCGCTCGTCTCAGTGCTCTCTCCCGACTGGCTACTTGCCTCTCCTTCTTTTGCTGCTGTTTCACCTCCAGCCTCTCCCTCTTTTCCCTCTTTGTGCCCACTCTCCTCCGCTGCTGCTGTTTCCTCCTCTTCTTCTCTGGTCCCATCCTCTGTGGCGATTTCAGCCATGGATGCTGACTGCTTCATCTTCTGGTCCGTTTCCTCTTTCTCCTTGGCCAGGATGAAGTTCCTCTTGCAGCCATTCTGGATCTCAGCCAGCAGGGCGCGCTGGGTCTCAATGAAGCTCTTCACCTGAGAGACACAAAGTTATGTCACAAACATGCAACGTAAACCACAAGAACATCAGATCAAACACAACTGAATCAAAACAATTCCTATAATCTCTTTTAAGACAGTACCTTCAGGCGAACATAATCTTTATTTCAAAACACAATTTTCTTTAAAAAGCTACAGCTTGGGGCAACCTGGTGGCCTACAGGTTAAGGAGACCTTTGTCTCACCATCTCTCTCCCCCCTCATAAAGGCTAAGGCTAAAGCTAGGATTATTCTGTACTGTAGTTGTTGTCAACAAATGCAATAAAAAGAAAAACAAAAGTTGCTTTAGTCCGCCATTTTAGGAAATGTTAATCAAACTGGAAACTGGAGTAAAGTTTCTTTGAACCAGTCACAGTCGTTTTGGGCAGCACTAAGCCCAGGATGCATTGGCGATGGTGCCCTTGCAAAATAGTGTTGGGGGGAACTTGTTTTGGTGGAACATTTGTACGTGGGGAAGCTACGCAAAGGAAACGCCACAAAAAACTTAAACAGTCTTATGTTGACTGTGTGAATCGACTTTTACTGATTAAAAACAAGACAAACATAATTTGATAATCAATGCCCTAGAGGTGAAGCTTGACTGTCCTTAAGTTGTAGAGGAGCTCATTGAACCTGTTTCTGGTTTACATTAGCCAGTCAATGGCAGGCTTATAGCCACAGTCAACATCCGATGAGTCAAACTAACTTGAACTGTAACTGTGGGATATTTCACCCAGTGCAACAGTGCGGTACACTGCATGTCCACGTTTGTTTTTGACTACATTTTCCCCTTTACCTTCTCCCTTCTATCCCCTTCCCCATGCTCACAGTTTCTTTCTTGGGCTCCCGGTCAAGGTCGAGACGCAGCAGAGAGGTGTTGACTTTTAGGGCGAGCGACAGGGCCATCAGTCCACCTGTCTTTATCTCATTCTCTCGAAGGTCCAGACGCAGCAGTCGGGGGCTCTCAGCGATGAATTCAGCCACAGCTACAGCTCCTGAAGCACCAGATGACAGAAAAAAAATGGGAGTAAATAAAGTGCAAAACAGTAAAAATCATCCACAAAAACTGACAGGCACTAGTTCCCACCTTCGCAAGACAGTTTGGTGGAAGCGAGGCCCAGTCTGAGTACAGAGCGGTTGGCAATCAGTCCGTCTTTCAGCTTGTGGACCCCTTCGTTACCCACAGAGTTATGGCCGAGGTTCAGAGTCTCCAGACTCTGGGTGCAAGGCTGAGAAAAGCGGAGAGAAACAGATATTGATGTGTTTAGGGTGCATATAAAACCTGTATTATGACATCAGGCAGTCATTTCAAATAGACTGTAAAATTCTTCATGTATATTTTATCTTTCTAACAGCTACAGTATGTAGTAGCTTTTATATCTAATTAATGTATTTGTGATTTTTCGTTGCATTTGATTCTTAACTGTAAAGAGTTTCGACATTATTGAGAATCACCCTGAAATAGATTGCATTTCCTTGGAGGCCACATTTAACTACTTAATGAGCTGATTAATCAATTATCCTTCCTGTTATCTACTGCTGAAGTGCAGAATGCCTTAAACCTCCCAGTGAGTGCCAGAGCTCTGCTGCTTTAAAGTTACATGTGTTATTTATGTTTTTCACTGTGTAAGAAATCTCTCTACATTTGTCAGTGCACAGGCCTTTTCTCCTTATACTGGTTCCTATTAAATGCCCAACGTCATCGTTATCATCGATCAAGTACACTGGAGTTATGTATCAGACAGTCATGGGGTGTTCTTTATCAGTATGAATGAGGGTTTCAGGCCATTTCTGTGTGTCCTGCAACATCTCACAAGCCTCAACGTCAGAGAGATTTCATGGAAGAGATAAAAAAAAAGCAGCATTTTATAATCCAACAGCACAACCATGATGTGTGTCTAAAAATAACTGTGTGAGTGTTGTGTCATAATTCTCCATACCAAACAACATGTGAGAAGTTACAGGCGTTCATTTATCTATTAATGTTTGGAAGTATTTCACTGCTGGAAAGATGGTCTTTTCATAAAACTGTCTATGCAGAAAAAAGATGCAAGTACTTTTAAATAAATTGGTGCTACATGACCAGAGAAAACAGAGAAAAAGGGCTGTGACATTTATATTTGCTAATGAAGTAGAAAACCTCCAACTACAGAATGCACTGCGTAGCACCGGGCCAATAATGCAAGTTGGTTTCAGCTTGTCCGAGAACAGTATATATCGGGGGGCTGGTAAGAAATGATCTTGAATTAAAGTTAAAAGCTAGGCTAAAATATGTTTCTGAAGAAATTTTAGGTGAAAGACAGGCATCACAGGAACAGAATCTTGGTTCTCTGCATAGTTTTAGCATTTCATAGAGGTTGGGTCTGAGTTTTCAGACAGAGATACAAAAATGAGAATGTACAATCGGTAGCTCAAGCAACAGCCCTAGAGCCAGCAAAAATCCGCCAGATGACTTGTTTTTCACTGGCAAGTGAGAAGGGAGATAGAGAGAAGTTTACCACAGTTCATTTGAACATACTTCCCATGTTATAATACAAAGGTGGTTGAAAATCGGCAGTGTCCCTTTAAAGCTACACCTGATCTAATCGATAGTTACCACTCAATACACTCAAAATCCTGAAAATCAATGTTATAATCATTTTACTGTAAAGAAACAGAAATTAAATCAGCTTACACTGCAGCTCAAAATATCTCCTACCTCTATATAGGGACTGAGTTTCCTAATAAGGGTCTGTACTACAAATGTTTTTTTCTTGGCTACTACTTTGTGTATTAGTATCAAATTAAATGAACCACAAAGACGCATACAGCAATAAATGTGAGCAGCTGTGTATTACAGTGATATATTTTATAAACAAAAAGGCACATTTTGTTAATAAATCTTCACTTCATCACACCACTGTTTCTTTATTTACAACTAATGTCAGTCACTCTTTTCCTCCCTAAAGAATAAAGCCTGCTCACGCCTTCAAGTTATACAAAATGCTGCAGCGAGACTGTTAACGGGATCAAACAAAAGATATCACATAAACCCCATTTCAGCTTCCTGCACTGGCTTCCAGTTAAGGTATTAATATTCAGGTTTTACTCATCACTTTTAAAGCACTACTGGTCTAGCACCAGCATACATCTATGAACTATCATATCTCTCATTTCGTACGACAAAAACCTACCAACACTCTCCTGATCTAGACCTATAGCTAAGGGAGACTGTGCTTTTGCTGTCAGGGTCCCAAAACTTAAGAACAGTCTCCCTGTTGAACTTCGTCTTGCAAACTCACTCACGACTTCTTCTAAACCACTACTAAAAACCTATTTCTATAAACTTGCTTTTATGTATTAACTTTGTTTCATACATTTTTAGTTAGAGGGTGGAGATGTATTAGTCTATATAATCTGTGAAAGCACTTTGTAGCGCTGTTTTTAAAGGTGCGATAAAAATAAAATTCTTCTTATTTATCTAAAGACAACTCTTGTTTGAGAAAAATAATACAATTAAAATTAAATGTGCAGCTAAATTCTGGGGTAACATCTTGTTAACATGGGTTTTGGGGAGTTTTTGTAGCCATTACATTGGGTTAACAAAATTAATCTCATCTCATAAACAGCACTGATAAACTAGGAATAATGTGAGCAAGCAACATGCTGCACATGCTGCATTATAGTCTTTCAATAATGGTATTAACGCTGTATTTGTAAACTTTTCTGTGGCTGTATTAATAAGACAAAACTGTAACAAAACACTGAAAAACAAAACAGTTTATCTCACTCTGACACTGCTGAGACTGTAATGACTCAGCAGTGTTTCGATGTAAACGCTGTGGAACTAAAACAATGAATGAACAATGAATGCGAAGATAATGACGCTATCACTCAACAACAGACATGAGACCAATGACTTTAGTAATGCATTATCTGTGCCAGACTGCTGTGACTGGTACAGCACCAAGGCGAGCTCACATCTGGTCACTGAGCGAGCTTTGACAGCTCAAAATGTCAGCTGTATTAATGAGAAGCCTACGAGGAGATGTCCAGTGAAATCAGACGTCATGACACTGATCTACACGGCACATTAATCTCTCACCTTCATACTTGTCAAAGAAACTGAGTGCCAGTTTCTCTGGTGAAATGCAAATATGAGTCATTCATCCAACAATGAAACAGCTGTTAACCTTGTTTGTTTTAAACAAGATCATTCAAACACTAAGGAGGTTAAAAAGCTGCATGAGCAAATTCTATGTTTAAATCTTGTCTTTTATCAGATAATTTTCTTTCTCTCTTTCAATACAGACCAATATGAGGAGAAAAGAGGTAGAACAGCCAAGATCTATTTTGATCGCATCTCTAATAGAGTAATGAGGAGAAAATTAGATTCTCAATGCCTTAGCTGTCACAGACACACACAGCCACAGTTTTCCTCTAAAAACCAATGATAAGAGTGTGTGAGTAGATTTATTGTTCCACAGTGTGTGTGTATGTATGTGTGTGTGTGTGTGTGTGTGTGTGTGTGTGTGTGTGTGTGTGTGTACCAGTGCAGCAGCGAGGTAGCCCATGCCATTGTGTGTGAGCTGGTTGTTCCATAGCACCAAAGTGACGAGGCCTTTCCTCTGCTCTTTTAGTCCTTCACACACGTAGGCCAGGCCTGTGACGACAAACAGAGACAGACGGCGTTAGTGCATCTGTATTTAACTTAAAAATATCACAATTTTTAACCAAACGACATGTGAACTAAAATAAAAAGTCTAATTTGAGGCGATCTGGTGCATCAGCAGCAGCTTGTTCTCTGAGCTGTAATAGTAGAAAGAGGACCTCATTTACTGTACACAGTGAAGTGTGACTTTACACAAGAAAAAAAATTTATATGGATGAATTTATCCTAAAACACAACACTGATGAGCCTCAGCAACACTATATAAAGGCATAATAATGACAAAATGACATCCTCTGTATTTCTATCTGAAAGTTCTTAGTGTAAAAATGAAAAAGTATAATAAGTATAGATAAAAAAATACTGATGTATTGGTGGAAAGCAAAGCAAGAAACACACATTTTACACCAGGACTCATGTTATCTTTAGCTCATTAGTCAGTCTTTTATTCTGACCTCTAAACAGGCCACATCATTATGTAAAATCCAAATAAATAGCACTATATTGTATCATGTAGTGACAATTTTATGTAAAACAAAAAAAAGGGGGGCCATTCTTTAATGGACTGTTGTTTCCTTCTGAGCCTGAACTGTAAACATATTCAGAAATTCAATGAAACCAAATTATTTGTCATATTCTGGAGTGAGCAGATAATCAAACTGCTGCTTCTCTATAAACACAACGGCTCTCTGCTGCTGCTGGTAAATACAAAGGCCCATATGTACACTAGTATTTAATGAGCCTTTTTTTGCTGCAATGACCTAATTTTCCCACAAAGACCAATAAGCTCATCTTATCTACACTGTTTCCCATACACTGATTTAGTAGTGGTGGTCTATCACACTACTAACGTAGACCGCCATCAACTGATCATCTAATTTTCTTTTATTTACTATTTAAAATCTGATAGCTGATAAAATAAATACATTGAAAAATGTGCTACTATGGCTCTGATGCAGTCGCCTCTCTCTGTCTGCAGTCATCACGCTGTAGCCTCGCTCAATCTCCCACCCAAAGCTCTACCTAACTGGTTACACGTCACAAGTATAAGCTTATCAAAACTGAAGGCTGCCGTGCCACAGGTGAACACAGATAGGTGCTGCTCCTGTGAGAGGAAGTGGAGCTGTGTGTTGCAGGTAAGACAGCAGATATTACAGAGGTTTTGACAAACATAACAATCCTCTATGCTGAAGTATTAATAGTATAGTATAGTATTAGTAATAGTAGTTAATGGATGTAACCTCAGTTGTATGAGAATTGCAAGGAGGGGAAGAGAGAGTAAGACCGCATCCCGAGGAAAAGTTTGTAGGTCAAACACTTCACTGATAAATAAACCACAGAATTATAAAGTAACACTTGGCTTCGTGATCAAAGTGAGTTCTTGTATTGCATCAACACTGATCTGAGTCTATGAAAAGGTATCGAGGTGCAGGCACAATAAACAAATCTTTTTACCAAAACAGTCCCACCTTGAGAAAACACACAAGACTATAAAACAACTATGCTGCCATATGTGTTAGGGCTCTATCATGGCTGTGTACCAGAGTCTAGGATGTGGTTGTTGCGCAGGTCCAGGATCTGAATGTTGTAGTTGAACTTTAGCAAGTTGCCAAGCTGAGCTGAGTCCTGGAGGCCGTTGAGCTTGTTGTCTGCCAGGTACAACTCCCGCAGGTTCATATTCATCTTCAGAGCCGTAGCTGTCCAGGAAAATAAATTATAAAGGAACATGAGGGAGGAAGAAAAACAGAATTCCACAGACAGAGGACTAAATTCAGGCATTGTGATTCTCTGACGCTGTAGGCCGGCTGAAAGTGTTCTACCCATCTTACCCAGTAACATGAGCGGTCTGCCAGACAGACCAGCGTTCTCCAGGTGGAGGACTGCCAAGCTGCCGCTGATCCTGAGTGCTCGTGCTACAAAGGGAGCCGAGTGGTCGAGCAGAGGAGTGTTACGTGCATCAAGGTACTGTAGAGAGCTCGTCTGAGGAAGAAACACCAACAGAGATACAATTAATTTGGTGTGCAGAGATCAAAGTGCACACAACCTAATCGGAAATCACAACAGCGTGTAAAATAATATCCCCATTATCGTGATTTAAGAAAACAAAAACATCTGGTTCTGATGTGCCATAATATGATGCAGTTATAAAGGTCAGGGAGTATACTATACAAGTTTAATATGAGTGTTGAGATTAGGGATGGGGATGAGTACTCGAGTACTCGTTTTGAACGTCAGTATTCGTTACACATATTCAGATTCGAGTACTCGCATTTCATTGTGAATATGAATATGAATATGGTTTAAAAGGCTAATTGAAGCCTGCAAAGTCTGTCTGAGTAGATGATCTTCTCCGTAGCGTGACTCGCCTGGCACCTGTGTGGACTTGTTAATTGTCTTAAACCGAAATGAATATATTCATCTCTTAAATTAATCAGGCCTAAGTTCAAAGTTATGGTTAATTTGTGAAAATTGTGTGATATTAGGCCGATTTTGTTATCTGTTGAACATGTAGGCTATTCACTGACGGCTCATGCTGTGTTGCTTCTCGATAGCCGTGTCTGGAGTTTATTGCAATATTGCGCAAAATGCAGTGACTTTAAATTGGAACATTTTTATGTTAACATTGAATGTAATGTTGAATAGGCTAATTGAAGCCTGGCTGTTCAGTAAACAAGCTTGAAATTGCACTTGAGTTCTGTTGTTGGCCTAAATGTGACCCTATTCTAATGCAGGTTTGTTTTTTTTTGTTTTTTTTGCGAGTACTCGAGTACTCATCAATAATGTAATGAGAGTACTCAAATATGGAAATTACTTAGAATGCCCATCCCTAGTTGAGATGAAGTCGTCTTGTGGACTTTATGCAATTAAGTATGCAACAGATAACCTGTAACATCTGGCAACACACACATAAACACACATTTTCCATGGATCATTATTCCCAATTCTGTAACCTCTCATTATGATGATGAACACCAGCGAAGAGCTTCATCAGACAAACACAAAACATTACCCTCAAATGAACAAACGTGAATAACAAAGATGATGTGTATGCACACTGTCGCCTAGATAACGGCACTTCAGTTTTGTTTTCCATCTGCTTAATCCAAGGTCTCAACTCAGGCAGTCAAGGACACGCACTTGTCAAAGCATTAGCGCGTGACGATCTATTGAGCTTCGCTGAAATGAGCTACTGCGACTCTTTATTGACAAGCTACGACACAAACAATCTCCAAGCTGCTGTCTCCAGACAGCTCTTCATTAATCATCAGACACTCAGTGATTGTAGATGAGGGAATGCCTTTTGGGACAAACACTGATCAGATGAGAATTAGCTTCTCACACAGTGATAGTTGTGATTACAATGCGACCGCAGTGCTCGTACATTTGTGTCAACAGTTATTATTAGTATCTGTGATTAAGAATTTGTTGTTTTTCCCTCTTGAAGTAATGAACCGAATCTTTGAAAAAACAAATAAACAGGCCACAATATTAATAATAAAGACTGAAAGGTAATTTGTGGTTTGGGGAACAGATTAGTGTTGTTCACTGTGGTACACTGATGGAATACATCACAGTCACCTTCACACAAGACAATAATATCCACAAAGGCTGCAATCTGGTAACCTGATACACAAATAAAACTGATTGATTTTTCATTAATCGTGAATTCACCACAAGTGGTTCAGGGTTGTTTTTTGCATGCATTCATCTGACACTTCATCTCACGCATTAAAGAAGCTCTTTAAGACATTCAGAGAAGGGATATTCCTAATGACTGATTTCCCTGCTGTTAAAACGATGTTTAAAACTTTGACTAGTCTACTCTGAAAATAAGAAAACACTCAGAAAACAGCCAAAATTGAGCACCCTATAAGGTTAAACACTGTTCAAGAAAATATTGTGTATACTACATTGTTTTATTTTTTAAAGATATTTTTTGGGCGTTTTAGCCTTTAATTGATAGGACAGCTTAAGCGTGAAGGGGGGAGAGAGAGAGAGGGAAGGACATGCAGCAAAGGGCCACAGGTTGGAGTTGAACCCGGGCCACTGCGGCAACAGCCTTGTACATGGGGCGCCTGCTCTACCTCTAAGCCACCGACGCCTCGTGTATACCACATTAACAACATTTTTCAATAACAAACTCGTATTTTAAATGCCAGTGAAATATGTTGTGCTTTTCACAGTGTATTATGAACATTACACATTCACTCATTCTGTAACTCTCTCACGAGTGTGCACGCAAACTGACATCCATACACCTACGTTACTGTGCTCCACAGCACCTCTCGTTTAGCGCCACGCTTGTGTGACTACGCCATCATCATTATCAGTGGTAACCATCATGTGAATGTAGTGCAAAGTGGCAGTGATTAGCTAGCCAGTGAGCAACAGGCACACAGACGCACATGCACAGATATGCACATGCAGCTAGATCATCTACCACAACAACGGACAGAGACGTTCAGATTATAACACACAGATAAGTAGCGTGTCTTTTTTCTCTGCCCAGGAAGCCATTACTCCTCTCAGTCTTTACATGGCAAATAGCTGTTTGCTACTATATTAATGCTCTGACTGCCATATACATAACCTTTAAATGAATATACAGTATACAGGGTATATGCAGGAATCCTGAGGTTAATTTCAATACCTTTTTAAGACTTTTTTAAGACCTTCCAAAAAAACCTTAAGACCTCATCGCCACTTCAAGCTGTCGTTAGCAGCAACACATCTTTAACTTACTAAACAGTTTGCAATTAAATCTATGGAGCACAAACATACAACAGAACTCAGATAAGATGAAAAGGAATAAAGCTTGAAAGAATAAATTAAACCAAAGGCAGGTTTATTAAAATACACCTTAGGTCATAACAAGTAACACAGCTCTACAGCTCAACATCAGCTATTCAAGGCCAACTTGCTGAAAACAACAACCTTATGGCTAGCCCCCTGCATGTGGGATTTAGGGATGACCTAAAAAAATTCGAAGCTTCAAAGCTTCGTTCAATGGCACGGGATTTGATTGTGAAAAAAATAAATAAAAATAAATCAAATATTCAGCCTTTTTTTCCTCCCGTTTTTTTTGGGGGACCTTGAATGCAACACTAATCATGCTGTCTGTTTACGGTTGTTTTTTTCCCCTTTAACCATATGTAAACTCAAAGAACGAGAAGCAATGTCTGTTAGGCATTTAAGATTTCATGTTCCAGTTCCAGTTTGTGTCTTTAATTGACTGACTGTTTCTGGTTGGTTATTAAAAAAGAAAACATCTCCGACAAGGAAATAGAAAGCCCGATGTGCAATGAATGGAGACCTATTATCCTCCTTGAACACAGACGACTAAATTCTTTCAACAACGTGACTCAAAATAATGATAAAATAGATTTTATTGATGTAAAATAATATGCTGATGGTGACATTTTCCACCGGTCCGCTGCGCTCTGAGTCTGGTGTCAGTGACACATGCTGCTCTGAGTCGCGCATCTGTCTTCTTACGCTGCAGTGCGTGCCGAGGGTTTTAAATTTTAGTGTTAAATCAAAAATTAAACACTACTTATCAGCAACCAGAAGTGCTTTTTTATTTGTGAATATTTTTATCTTAATTCTAGGTTTGCAAGAAACTACCCTTTCGCCATAATTTTTAAGTTATTAACTTTTTTGGACTTTTTTTTTTTTTTTTTCGCTCAGCCCCCGTGTACTTTTTAAGACCCTGTGGACACCCTGGTATAGAATGGTAAAAAACAAATGTATGAAAAGTGCTTGTGTGGAGTCAATCAACAGTTCCTTCACATGCTTTTTTTTTTTTTTTTGGACGTATATTCATGTTTGCCTGCATGACCCATTTGTATGCTTCACAGTAATAAGGGCTGACTGACATCAAAGTGCACTGTAAAGGGCACCGGCAAGATTTTGGAAGAGCAAGCGAGAAAAGGCCAACCCTTATGTCTGAGTGCTGACAGAAAACAGCAGCGCTGCATGACACAAATCCAACCAGAGAATAAAAAAAGAAAGAAAGTAAGAAAAAAAAAACAAAACAAAACTGCGGCTAGATCGATCTTCCCCCCTGGGCACGGAGCTACTGTTACTGAAGTGGAGGAAGAGACTTGATGTCGGTAGTATTTGAGACCAAACATCCTCTTTTCTGGCCAAACAAAAAGGCAAAGCATGAAATATTTGGCTTTCTTGCCATAGACGACAAACACTCAGAGCAGTGTAATCCATCACACTGCTGTTTTAATTTACAAATAATAACTTATTTAGTCCATACTCACTGCTCCATCTGCAGAGAGAAAATCTCTTTCTCCCAATAATCCTGTTTATCACAATTCAGCCTGTAATCTCTCTAATACTGCGTTATTATTTACTGTATATACTGGTGCTGCACTGTGGAACAGCCATCGAGTTGACAATAACAAGGACTTCTAGAGCTTGATGCCTCTAATGGCACCATTTCTGTTTAATCTATTTGCTGTTTTACTGTTTTAATGAAACAAGGCACATCTCTATATGTGTGCAGCTCTTTACATTTAATGCGATTTACTCAACTTAATACTACTTTCTGTTTTTATTGTATCTGTACTTATTGTGCAATTTTGTTCTCCTGTATACTGATTATTGCTTTGGAGTGAATGACAATAAATTAAACGTTGAACCTAGAGGTCAGGTGAGGTCTTATTTATGTTTATGACATTTTTATTCAGCTGTAAATCTGTTTTTATTGTATTTAGGTGTATTTGTGTGGACATTTGTTCAATGGATTAGTGTGCAGTGATGTAGTTTTGTATTTAAGAATGTATTTTTCAGTGATTTATGTCTGTCTTTTAATAATCTTGGGACCATTTTGGAAAAAAATGTTCTCACTTAAACATGCTATTCTTCGCACTGGAGTGTTTTCTTGACCCATAAATGAATCAAATCCTTTCCTATTCACATCCTGGTGTTTTTCCGCACAGATGAGGCTTTCCACTGTAGCGGAAGATGATTTCTCACCTTCCTCATCATGTGAGCGGCGGCCTGCCATCCTCGTGTGCCAATGTGCTTGTTGAAGGAGATGTTGAGATGTGTGGCTGACTCATAGTACTCGATCATGTCAAACAGAGCTGATGCACCCTGAGAAGCACAGACAGAGAAGAGGAGAAACACATTAACCATCATGTCATTTCAGATTAAAATCCAACAGTTTCACACAAATCTCACCGTTGGTCATGGAGTCACAACTGTGAAAGAGATGTTACATGACAGAAACTGGAGTAGCTGTAGTTGCCACAATTACAGTCCCACAGTATAGGTGAGACATGTTGAGGTGATTCCAACCAATTCCAATAACTTTACAATGATATANTAAAATCAGCCATTTTCGCTTGAAAATGGCTGATTTAATGTCAAACAAATAATCAGTCGGCATTATTGACTAATCAATTCAGCTGTGAAGAGATAAATGAAAAAGAACACCCTCCATTACAGGCTGGAAAATTGTACAAACCCATCAGTGCATCAAAATCAAAGGGCATGAAACTGTGTTTGTTTAAGGAGCAGATGAGGGACAGACATGAAATGTCAGGTGATGCAGCTGAGTGCACTCATGTGATCAGGGTTTTAATCTCATTTTGGTTTTTGTGGTGCCAGGGGAGGTGCATCTCTTTCATCTATCACTGACATACTGACTGAGCACAGATATTGATGACAGTGGAGTGGAGGTTTTCACAGCAAAATGAGCTACTGGGTAACTAGTCCCTCATGTTTTTCACTCAGCAGCATTTAAAAGCAAACTTCAACACCATCAGAATCATCATCCAGCGGTGAATTTGCTCCTGTGTGCAGGCAGTTGCAGGATGTGACCAGCAGATTAAAATGTGAGAATGAGCGTTTGAGTTTATCCTCCACTGAGACTGATGAGAAGTAACAAAATCAGACAGACTGCTGCATAAAATCTCATAACCTTTCCCCCCTTTGTGTGTGTATACTGGGAGACATTACTGAGTATACACAAGTGTGTTTATCTACAGGGTGGGGGAAGATGAGTCACATACAGCCCAATAAAAGCCAGCCTGTGTTAGTGCTCCCCATGCCTGCTCCTCCCCACGCTTCTTAAAACATCTCTCCAAAACTATTTTCTCTCCTTTCATCCTCCCATATCATTCCCAGCAAGACGACGCTACCCAGGCTCTACCAAATCCAGCTATCTACTGTATGTCTCTCACTCCCCATTCAATTCCTTCTATATCCCTCATCCTCCCCTCCACCAGCAACACTTCCTCAGTATTTTCTCCTTTCAGCCTTTCATTTCATCTGAGCCCAGTCGAGACACTTGTCTCAGACTGAGATGCTGCTCTTCGGTGACTCAGTCACTGACTCATTCAACTACTTCATTCATATTTCCGGGGCAGTGCTCCACATCGGGTGAAAAAAGTGCATACGTCACTCTGCATTGGTTTGGATTATGTGGAGCTCTGGAGTGTGTGTGTGTGTGTGTGTGTGTGTGTGTATTCTCTAACATGACGATCTGTTAAAAAAGTATATGTATTAAACTGTTCATCAGTGTAACTGCTTGCATTTTGTTCTGTGTATAAATACGAACCTGGCTACCTGAAACATAACTCATTCATTATGAAACCATATTCCACAGACTACATTTGCATGCACACTAATTTTCCATTACAACTCCAAACATGACAATATTACCAATTGGATAAGAGTCCTGACAGCATATTCATTTTAGATATTCCAACTTAGGCCTATTTTCAATTATAGCATTTCCCTATTAATGGGATATTATTCAGGTTTTAAGAGTATACATTGGACACGCATGCAGCACATTCCCAATATGTGCCTCTACTGGGGTTTTTACCACAGTTTACAAACACACAGCTTCTTGCCTGTATATGGTCAGCTCTGTGTTTTGTACAAAAACCCACTGAGATGAGATGCATGCCCAGAAGAAAAGCCCATATTTCTAGTTGACAGAAGAAACATACTTTGGATATCTACAGGTTTTTGGATGTGCACAAATATTGTAATGCCAACCTTTTCAAGAAGGTGGTTGAATTAATGAAAGAGGGAAGCTGTGTTCTCACAGTCGAACAAGTCTGCATCGATGGAAATCTTTCAAAAAATCTTATTTTGATGCCAAAACACTGGTTCCAGCTGTTCCACTTTTCCATATTTTGACATGAGAAATGACATGTGCAGGGCTGCATGTCGATGGGAATATAAGTGGCATATTCATTTTCATTAGCCATGTAAACGGCTTAAAATAAATATTGTCCATTTCAGAATAAGAGCAAAAACATTTAAATTTTGTGCATGTAAATGTAAACATCGGCATGTGACACTTAACTTCTCCTGTGACTAGTTGCAGGTGAATTAAAATTAACTGTAGAAAGACATGATAAAAAGCGTCATATGATGACAGCATTATTGTTAATTTGGCATACAAACTTTACATGTTGGATTTTGTCGCCTCAACAATACAATATGCTAGGCAGGGGGAGGCTCATGGCTGCAGATCCCCTGTCTGACACCCGTGACTCCCCCCTTACAAAAAATATTTTTGTAATGTTCTTTCAGTTATGCCGCACTCTTCATCTGCTGGCCTTGCGGTGTCTCCCTGGTAGAGCAGGGCTGCTATTGTGACACACATTGTGAGGTTTTTATTCCCACTTCTGTTTTATATGCGACAGTTTCATTTGCACTACTGTATCTTATTTGCACTACCTATACCACAGTTTCTATTGCACTTTTAATTATTATCTCCTGGGCCAGCGCAACCTTAAGGAGCTTTTATTCTTTTAGCCTTACCTGTTATGACAAAGTTGAGGTTTTTATTTCACCCAGTTGTCTTGACTGTACAATCATATTATTCAAATTGGCATTCTTGCTGTACTACATGGTTGTCTACTGTGGGTCTTGACTGTACATGATGGTTTTATCTGCTATGCAGCTATGTCGCACTACGTGCCCAAAACATCTTTCCTGTTTGGGACAATAAAGGTTATCTTATCTTAACTTGTTAACTTCTTTCACTGGTTAGCTGCACTATTTCAGTGGAAGAAGACTGTGGGGGTGAGAGGCGCACAGTTTCAAAAATTAAGATTTCTCAGTGAAGCATATCCGCCGAATTTAAAAGTGATTCATGTTTACTCTGCAACTCCACCAGTTTCTCCTCCTATCCCACAGAACGAGACAACTGAGACTTGTTCACGTTCCTGCGCCTCCCCAGAGTCCGCTTCATGTTTACTTGTATCCAATTTACTACTTCTTATTCGATGAAGCTGTTATTCACTATTTGCATGAGCCAAGACTTTCGATGATATTGTACGTTTGATTTTTTATCGGAACTAGAAAATGAGAAAAAAGACTGACGGCTGAGGTAGAACTGATGATTTTCTTCCGATACTGGAAATTTGTCTGCGACAGTGAAATCGCTTGAAAAGTTGTTTGGTGTGATGCCAGCATTAACTGTGTGTGCTAAAAAAAACAGCAGGAGATTGGGGTCTGAATCAATTCTGCGGTTTAAGGGTGAAAGTACTGACACAGCTTTGCCAGACAGAAATAAAATAATGAGCAGTAATTAAAGTGGCCCTTCCTACCCCTGAGATTCGGATCCTGTGTGACTCTGGCTAAAAGCAGAGAGTGTGCCTGTGTGTAATACAGTATATTTGGAGCTCTGTGTGAAAGGAAGTGGTCAAGACTTGTGTCCCTCTACTCCACGCTGCAGCACTGTCTCGATATGTGCGTGTCTACAGCCCAAATGTCCCTAATGGTGTTTACACAAGTGGACATCTGGAGTAATCAGAAAACCCATGACAAACACTCCACATCCTGCCAGTCCAGTGAGAGTGAAAAAGAGGATCAGAGTGTGACTGATGGCAGAGAGTGACAGTGAAAAACAAAGACAGGCAGGCATGAACTAGGATGAAAGATGGAGGTATGCTAACTGCACTGAGAGAGGTGAACGTTGAGACAGAGACAGATTTAACATCATGATTCTCTTACATCTTCATCCAGGTTGGTCTGCTCCAGGTCTACCACCTTAAACTGGACCCTCTTCAAAATCTCTTCCAGAGACTCGCAGGCTTTGTAGTCCAGCTTTTCACCTAAAAACACATGTTGATAGAGTTTTTACCATTTGAAACAACAGATCTCCCAATATATGACAAAGTCTGTTGGATTTTCACATGTTGATGTCACAGCATGACTGTCAGGCTGTTGTTTTGGTGCTTACCTTTTAGATCTAAGCATTCATTTCGCTGAGTCAGGTCTTTCAGTTCCTACAGAGACAAAAAGAGGCAGTGTCAGTAAGAGCTGAGTTTCTGTATTCTCCCCTGGAAGCTAACGTTGCTTTTCACATGTTGAAGCTTTCACATCACATCAGGAGGCAAATCAATCAATAAATTAGTTCTGGAGATAAAACACAGGTCTTGTGTGAACTAAGATAAACCTTTGCTGCAAAGTAAAAGCATCTGCAGGACACGTTCAGCTATCATACCTCTGGTGTGTTCCTGCTACATAGGTGTGTGCCACTGTGCCTTTGAGTTCTGGTACCATTGGTAAGGTACTCTGCAAAGTACTGAATGTGAATACTGAGCAAGACCCAGCGATGGCAACTTTGATGCACTGTATTAGATAAAGAAGGGCTCTGCCATTCCTGATAACATTGTTACAGTGTGAATCTTTGCAGCAAGCTGTAGTGTGACCGTTCAAGCCTTTATGGCACAGATTTCCATGCGACAGCAACACAAGGTAAAAGATGTTGGTTTATCTTAAAGGCCATTGTAGGGCCTGTGGTCTGCAGCTTATCATCTCGGGGCCCTAAAACACCACGCCTACAGACAACAGACTATGTCTGGCCGTCAGTGAGCAACTGTCTTTCTAGTTTTTGCGGTGTGTCGTATATTGTTGGCACTGGTTGGCCTTTTTGGCGTTGGAGAGGGTGGAGCCCGTTAGTGAATTTAATCACTCAGATTGGCAGTGAGCAAACAAACAACAAGAGTCAAGAAGGCAGTGGATCAAAACAAAGTTGCTATATTAGGTAGGTTTACTTGTAGTCATTGAGCTCTTTAGCAGAAACTGTTGTATTGTCTGCTAGCGCACAGTAAGTATCATTTGATCTTTTAACATCTGGTTGTGTTGTTAATGTGCTAATGGGCTAGCATCTTGAATCTGTCCCGTTGGTCTGGTTACCCTTTTTTGAATTGCGAATCAAGACTACCACTGCCTGCTGGTGTGGTGAGTTATTTCTTTTTACATAGGCACAGAACGTAGTGCTAGTTCATTACTGGCTTTAGTTTTTGTAGAGTGTTCAGTACAACGTTTTGGTTGAGGCACAGATGACCTGTGGTGACACAATAGTCGGCCTTCAGTTGTCACTAGTTATTTGATGTCAGTTTGGTGTGTCTGGGCGTCAACGGCTCCCAGCAGCTGTTTCTGCTAGTGCTATACCTCCCCCTGCAATATCTAAAATAGATCCACTGACCAAATGGTGCAATGTACAGTACAGGCCAAAAGTTTGGACACACCTTCTCATTCAATGCGTTTTCTTTATTTTCATGACTATTTACATTGTAGATTCTCACTGAAGGCATCAAAACTATGAATGAACACATGTGGAGTTATGTACTTAACAAAAAAAGGTGAAATAACTGAAAACATGATTTATATTCTAGTTTCTTCAAAATAGCCACCCTTTGCTCTGATTACTGCTTTGCACACTCTTGGCATTCTCTCAATGAGCTTCAAGAGGTAGTCACCTGAAATGGTTTCCACTTCACAGGTGTGCCTTATCAGGGTTAATTAGTAGAATTTCTTGCTTTATCAATGAGGTTGGGATCATCAGTTGTGTTGTGCAGAAGTCAGGTTAATACACAGCCGACAGTCCTATTGGACAACTGTTAAAATTCATATTATGGCAAGAACCAATCAGCTAACTAAAGAAAAACGAGTGGCCATCATTACTTTAAGAAATGAAGGTCAGTCAGTCTGGAAAATTGCAAAAACTTTAAATGTGTCCCCAAGTGGAGTCGCAAAAACCATCAAGCGCTACAACGAAACTGGCACACATGAGGACCGACCCAGGAAAGGAAGACCAAGAGTCGCCTCTGCTTCTGAGGATAAGTTCACCCGAGTCACCAGCCTCAGAAATCGCAAGTTAACAGCAGCTCAGATCAGAGACCAGATGAATGCCACACAGAGTTCTAGCAGCAGACCCATCTCTAGAACAACTGTTAAGAGGAGACTGCGCCAATCAGGCCTTCATGGTCAAATAGCTGCTAGGAAACCACTGCTAAGGAGAGGCAACAAGCAGAAGAGATTTGTTTGGGCCAAGAAACACAAGGAATGGACATTAGACCAGTGGAAATCTGTGCTTTGGTCTGATGAGTCCAAATTTGACATCTTTGGTTCCAACCGCCGTGTCTTTGTGAGACGCAGAAAAGGTGAACGGATGGATTCCACATGCCTGGTTCCCACTGTGAAGCATGGAGGAGGAGGTGTGATGGTGTGGGGGTGTTTTGCTGGTGACACTGTTGGGGATTTATTCAAAATTGAAGGCACACTGAACCAGCATGGCTACCACAGCATCCTGCAGCGACATGCCATCCCATCCGGTTTGCGTTTAGTTGGACGATCATTTATTTTTCAACAGGACAATGACCCCAAACACACCTCCAGGCTGTGTAAGGGCTATTTGACCAAGAAGGAGAGTGATGGAGTGCTGCGGCAGATGACCTGGCCTCCACAGTCACCGGACCTGAACCCAATCGAGATGGTTTGGGGTGAGCTGGACCGCAGAGTGAAGGCAAAGGGGCCAACAAGTGCTAAACACCTCTGGGAACTCCTTCAAGACTGTTGGAAAACCATTTCAGGTGACTACCTCTTGAAGCTCATGGAGAGAATGCCAAGAGTGTGCAAAGCAGTAATCAGAGCAAAGGGTGGCTATTTTGAAGAAACTAGAATATAAATCATGTTTTCAGTTATTTCACCTTTTTTTGTTAAGTACATAACTCCACATGTGTTCATTCATAGTTTTGATGCCTTCAGTGAGAATCTACAATGTAAATAGTCATGAAAATAAAGAAAACGCATTGAATGAGAAGGTGTGTCCAAACTTTTGGCCTGTACTGTATGTCCATATATACATTGTATTTCCTGGAACTGCTTCACAATAAAAGCCTCCCTTCAGCTCTCTGGTGGAAAAACTGAAGCTGCAGCAGGAAATATTTGGTGTGCATCAGCAGTAACTTAACACAGCTCCAGTACAGCTGTAAAATAGGGCTTGTATAACAGATGTGCAAGAGTAAGACTAAATTACAAACCACAGAAATTCCGGTAGAAGCTACAAAACTAGTTGAATACAGTGAAAGTTTTAAAAACATCACTATTTTAGTCAGCAGTAGAAACAACATGTGTTCATTTTTTTGTGCAGATCTGACTAACCCAGGCCAAAGCAAATGTGGCCTGCGCGTGCCTTGATTATGTTCAACATCATTCTTAAAACCTGAGCATGTACAGTCTGTGTGTGTGTGTGTTGAAGTTGGCTATATCCTTTATCCTGTGATGCAATCTGACATCAGAGCATCACAGATCAAAAGGTGGAAAGATGTTTAACCTCCTGCCCTGGTGCAACACCCAACCACCCACGCAAACATAAAAACATACAGAGTGCTGCCCTCAAAACTATGTACCCGCAAATCCCTCTCTCTAGTTGACTGCCCAGCCCATTCAGCATGAACTCACTAACCTCTGCCCTCGTGCCGCACTGCCGTCACTTATCTCTGTGTGTGTCTGAACATACTGATGATGGTTTAGTTGTACGGAGGGTTCATGGCCTCCTGCATGACTCAACAGGTCCCAAAAACATTACAATGTTATGTGACAAATGCCACATCTGAAATACTGTATTGTCATTCTATCAGCAGGAAACACTGTGACACTAAAGAACACACTGTGGCAGTTATGGAGATGATTCAGCTGGAAAACTGGCTGAGTCATTCGCTTTATTCGCATTATATAAAAAATCATAACTGAAAAATGTTCAACAGTATGTTGTCAGTATGTTCTGTTAAATGTGGTTTAATTAAAAACTTCTGGATGCTCGTCATTATCCAGATGTGGTTGAATATGTAAACACAACCAGAGACACATTTTGGGCAATTTAACAGCAAGACAATCTTCACTTACAATTAAATGAGGCACCTGTCAGTGGGAATGATTTTATCAGTGTAAATACCTCCCTGACAGAGCTGCCAGGACCCAAAATAGTGTATGACGCATAGTGTGCCTCTGCACGAGTGGTGGTATGGGTGTGTGTTTGTGTGCGTCTGTGTGTTGTGGGTGGACTACATCAAGCTACTGATTCTCTCTCTGATCTTGTTCATTACATTCTGTGGTAACTCCTGCTGTAATGTGCCTCTATTACCCCTTTTCCACCAGAGTAAAGCGCATATATGCAGGTTTTTGAGACAGTAAATCCTGATAAACATAGCCCACTCCTTTCAAAACACAGAAAGGCAGATGGGTATGCCTTTCTGTGTTTTTTTAATTCTGGTTTGGCATGTTCGATGTCACAAATGCACCGGAAAACAAGCACGGGGTCTAGTGAAAATATTATTATTTTTATTATTATTTTTTAAAATATCTCTTACTTATTTAGTCTCTTTTTCAAACTTGGTGCCTACTTATTATGAATAACGTTTGAGCTCTGCTTGCACAAAGATGGATTAAATCAGTGGCTGACAAGACAAAGAGTTGCAAAAGTTAGTGACGGTTTGTCGGAAAAGGGGCAAAAATTGGGGTGTCCACCGGCATGTCATGTTTCCCTCGCTGCTGATCGGAGTTAAAGCCGATAAATACGTGACAACTGCAGAGTCATTTATCCCGGGAATAAATGCTGATTGCAACCTTTCCCACTGAAGATGAAACCCAGATGTTAGTTGGGTTTTTTGTGCAGTGGGAAAGGGGCTCAAGTTATGAACTGTACAGCCAAAGGACCTTCTGCAAAACTAATTTTGCATTGGCCTACAGTCAATCAAAGAAATATGACATCTGGGGGTCATGTAGGAATGGACCGGTGGGGATGCATGAGAGAACCTTCCTGTGACCTTATTGCTAAGTCCAAATCCATCGGCTGGATATTCCAAAATGCACGGCCCATGAATATGCATCTTTCAGAGGACGTGACAACAACAGGATGAATCTGCACCTTCTCCCTAAATGAGACAGTCTGGCATCACAGAAACCAAAATGGAGCATTCACAAGGTCCTTGGCAATGTT